GCTGTTGTCGCATGTGTGATGCATGCGTGCGTGTCTCGCAACAGTGGCACACATACAAGCTCAAGGTGGACCACAATCAAGGAATGGAGGGTTTGTCATGTAGGAGAAATGAAGGGGGAGGGGCTTGCAACAAACACGCAAGCACACAGATAAGCGACAGGCTGAATAGACGTGGGTGGAACCAAACACACAGAATAAACGAACACACACACACACACACACACACACACACACACGAACAAACTGCAACTACGAAGCGTTGTGTGCGGTGTTGTGTGGTGTTTGCAGCGTGCTCTGGTGTGGGTGCGTTACTTGGCGCGCTTGCTGCTGGAGCTGCCCTCATCGCGATCCCTGTCAACCCCAAGCAGCAGGCAGTGCGTGAGTGCGCGCATGTGCGCGGAGGATGGGAGATAGCAGGTGGACAGGAACGGCAAACGAAAAAGGCAGGAGGGAGGGGAAAGGAGGGAAGAAGAGTGCCATGAGGAGCATGGAGTTCACAGCACACATGCACAGAAACACAGACACATAGGCATACAGGCACACTGGCAGAGACACGTGGAGTTGGCATACCCTCGGCGTTTGCTGGAGCCCTCCTTTGCTTCGTTGAGGAACGAGCTGAGGCCAATATCAAGATCGTCCGCATCGCTCTTCTTCTCAAACTGAGGTGGTGGAACATCAAAGCAAGCACCACATAGCGAAACGAAAAGAATGATGTGAGGTGAGATATGGTGAGGGGGGGGAAGGATAGCATCACATGTGAGACACGCACGGCAATTGCGCAGGCAATGGCAACCTTTGATGTCATGACACTCTCATTGAGCTCCCCCTCCCTCAACACATAGGCACTGTCACAACTCAATTCTCAACCACCTCAGCATGCGCAGCACAGCACAACACAGCGCAGCACAGCACAACACAGCGCAGCACAGCACAACACAGGTGCGGTACTCCCGCGGGTGTGTGGACGAACCTGGACGGGGCCAGAGGCGCGACCAGAGGCGCTGTCCGTGCCAGAGAAGCCCTTGTCTGCGCGGAAGCGATCCGTCGTACGCTGTACACGCACATGCATGAGTGGCGGTGGGTGTCGGTGATGGCACCACCACAAGGTGAGCATGTGCAGCAGACAGTGGCAAAGGGCACCCGAAGCACAAACAATACGCAACGCATACATGCACCTACATCAGAGCAAAACAGTCGACAGCATATCACTAAAACAAACACACACAAACACACACAAACACACGCACACACGCACACGCAGACACACAAGCACACGCATGCACACACACAAACGCAGACACACACACACACAACACACACAACACACGCTGACTTACAATCTGCTCGTACTCCTCGTCGGCGTCGACTTCCTTGCGGCGGGTTGGCCTGTAGATGGACTGCGCCTGCGTGCCGCGCATGGGCTTGTCGTACACGTTGTACGAGTCTTCAGTACCAAACCCTGCGCTGATGCCGCCGCCCTGCCCAAACAGCCGCGAGTCATACGTGACGCCCTTGCTAGCCGGCCCGCCAAGCCCGAGCGCAATGCGCTCCGTCACGTCGCGCTCGTCGTCCCGCTGCAGCCGCGACCGCTTGTCTGGCGCCGCGTTGGCAATGTTGCGCTGCCGCCTAAACTCCCGCTCGCGCTCCTTGCGGATCTCATCGCGCTCCATCACGCCCTCCGCGTCCTCGGCGTCGTCGCCAGTGCGGATGCCGGCGCGCTGCTCGCGTGCGCGCTCGGCCATGCGGCGAAGGCTCTCCTCCTGTCGCTCCTTCTCCTTCTGCGCAGCACGCGTGCGAATCTCGTGGCGCTTCTGGATGGCAATGCGCGACTCGCGCTCGGCAATGTACAGCGCCTCGGCAACCTTGGCAAAGTTGTCGTTGATGGTGACGTCCTGCAGGCCGCGCCCGTCCGCCGCCATGCGCTTGTCCAGCGGCACCGTAAACCCCTTGTGGTTCTTCCAGTTTGAGATGCAGGGCGGAATGTCCCAGCTGCGCTGCTCCTCCGCCGTGACCTTGCGCGGCGGGGAGTGCAGCACGGGCGCCGGCGGCGATGGCGGCCCGCGCGGGATCTTCTGGTTCGTGCGGAACTTGGGCGGCTCCAGCGGGTCAACCTGCTCGTTCATCATGCGGATGATGCGCTGCTGCGCGCCAGAGTTGTGCCCGCCGCCGCCCTGCTGCGGGGTGTAGCGGATGTATGTTGGGTCACGCTCGCTCTTCTGCACGTGGGTGGCGCGCGCGGACGCCACCTTGCCGTCAACCATCTTCGACAGCGCATCCCACGTCTCCTTGGCCGTGTCCGCAATCTCTTCTTCACTCGGGCCCTGATCACCACACACACAAAAAGTAAGTGTGTGCCGGGGGGAGGGAATGACATGTGGGTGAGTATGAGAGTGTGTATGTGTATGTAAGCGTGTGAACATGCATGAATTTGTGTATGAATTTGTGTACGAGAGAGACAGTGTGGGTGTGTGTGAGTGAGAGCGTGGATGTGTGTGCATTAACGTGTGGTGGATGTGTGTGCATTAACGTGTGGATGTGAGTGCATTTAACGTGTGGATGTATGTGCATTTAACGTGTGGGTGTATGTGCATTAACGTGTGGATGTATGTGCGCGTGTGTGCGCGTGTGTGCCAATGCGTGCGCGGTGCGTGAATGTGACAAAACACAGCTCTCAACACATCAGGTCGCTGTAACCCTGCGAGGCCATATAAAGTGCACAGTACCTGGCGTTTGTCATCATCTGCAGTCACGTCCGCAGGCATCAGGTTCTTGTGGGACGTGTGGACAATCTGCCGCCAACACAACAAGAACAAGCAGACGTGAACAAAGAATGACATTGGGGTCAAAGGCGTGGTCTGGGTGTTGTGGTTGAATATGCGAGCAGTAGCAGCCACAACGCGATGCATGACAGCGAAGAGGAAACGTAAAACAAGAACGCAACAGAGCCATCATAAGTGCACGCACACCTCGTTCTTGTGACGGCCCTGCTTGGCCAGCGCGTCGTACTTGACCTTGCCGTCTTGGCCCACTTGCAACGTCATGGTGGAGGACTTTTGCTTCTGGCCGCGCTTCAGGCCCATGCTCAATGGGTACTGTGCCATTGGAATCTCTGGGAAGGCACCGCCGTCTCCAAAGTCTTCCACCTTGCGCGGACGCCACCCATGCCGCTGGCCGTACGGAGGGATCTTGCTCGTTGCAATCGCCACCTACACAATGGGCATCAAAGCAGAGGACAACAGGAAGAAGCAAGTCGGCAAGGGGAGCAAGATGGTGGCCGAAGACATGCAACCATCACGGAACAACCGCGCGTGAGGGGAGTGACACCACGGTGTGGAGGTGGTTTGCTTCGCATACAACGAAAGAAAGGGGCTTGCGTGAAAACACACATGCACACACGCAAGTGCACATGCAAACACACACATGTACACACACACATGTACACACATGGACACATGTACACATGCACACATGCAGCACATGCAGCACATGCACACAGACCTGTGCAGCGGCAGCGTCGTCGTACTCATCCTCGTCCTCTTCCGAGGCATGGATGGGACGAGGAAGGAGGCTATGCACAAGCAACAACGTGAACGAGCGAAAAGGCGCAAGTGTCAGAGCTGAGCATCCAAAAACAAGTGAAGGCCGTTGGCAAACCACAAAGCAGGTACATGCCGCATCCATCCCATTCACACACCTGTTGAGTGTCGCCATTATCGTCGTCTCTTTGTGTGATACGATGCGACAATGTGTTGTGACAGATGTGATCAACGTCGCAGAGAGCAGCTGGTCGGTTTGTGTCGTGTCGTGGTGGTGGTCGTTCGGTTTGGTTGCGGATAAATGATCAAGATGCCAGCAGTTTTTCCACAACTGGGCTGATGTCTTTTATGGTGTCGCTAACCGCAGTCAAGGGCGGAAGCTGCTCGCTTGTGTTGTGTTTTGTTGTTGTTGGTGTGTGTGTGTGTGTGTGTGTGTGTGTGTGTGTGTGTGTGTGTGTGTGTGTGTGTGTGTGTGTGTGTGTGTGTGTGTGTGTGTGTGTGTGTGTGTGTGTGTGTGTTGTGTGTGTGTGTGCGTGCGTGTGTATGTGTGTGCGTGTGTGTGTGTGTGTGTGTGTGTGTGCGGTCGTAAAGGGGAAAGGGACACGTCTTCTGCTGTAACACATGAAAGAAGAACAAACAAAAGGTGTGACGATTGGGAGATGCAACAGTCGGGAACGTCACATGACGGAACGTAACACATACCACGCCACATGTGAATGCAAACGAGCAGCAGCATTACTCCAGCTCTTGCATAGTGTGCACAAAGATTGTGTCATGCCATGCTTCCGGTGGTGCCTGCGCAACAGTCACGCACGTCGCACAACCGCACGCCATAGATGGCAGGTCGCACCACGCCATGTAGGCGTCTTTCTGTGAGTTGTTGATGTTCGACATCAAAGAAGGAAAAAGCGGAGGGAGGCAGGAAGGTGTACAGGTACCACGAAGTCGCATGCGCACTTCACATACGAGCACACAGACACAGACACAGACACACGCAGACACACAGACACAGACACACACGGACACACGGACACACACGCACACGCACAACATAACACATACACGTACACACACACCACACCACACCACACCACACCACACCACACACCTGGAGGTTAAAGGCAATGGCCACGCGGGGCTCTTTGCCTGCGGTGGGCAAGACAGTGTGCGGCATCCAGCCAGGGAACAGCACAAGATCGCCGGCAACAGGTGCCATATAATGTGCGCGCTCAAAGGGGAACTTGGGGAACCCGCGCGGGTCCGGGAACTTGAGCTCGCCAGAGAGAGCAGGCGTGCGAACGTAGTACACGCCGCTCACCGCGCTGCCAAAGTGGACGTGCGCTTGGTGGTCGATGCCCCACTTGCTCACCGTCGCCCAGTACGCGTACGAATTCCCGCTTTCGATGCAAATATGGTGCGCAAGCGTGAGTGGTGGCGAGCGGTGCACATGGGCGCACGTGACGAAGAACACACAAGGCAGCACATCGAACAGCAGGCACAGTTGCAGGCACACGACCATGCAGAGGCAGATGTACACATGTGGCCATGCACAGGCAGATGTAGCAGATGTACACATGCGGGCACAGTCACACTCCCACAAGCGGATGCCAGTTCGCACACACACACACACACACACATGCACACACACACACACATGCACACACACACAACACACAAGTGCACGAACAAGATATGTACCCGCTTGGGTTGATGTAGGAAGGAAAGGCGAGCTTGTCGGGCTCATCGCCAGGCAGGTTGCCGATGAACTTGGCCACGTTAATGTCCCAGAACGATTTGAGGATGTTCATCTCTCGCAGCCCTTCCAGCATGTTGAATTGCCGTTCGTAAAACCCGTTGTTCACCTCGTTGTCTGCAACACACGCAAACACATGAACGTGAGCATCGTCGTCAAGTCATGTCAATGTGATGTGGCGTGTCATGTCACATGCTGTTGGTGGATGTCGTTTGAACCCACAGCATAGATGCGACTGTGCCTCACAGCTTGTTGACTCACAGGTGCGACGGTCCATGTTGACGTTCTTGGCCAGGTCCAACGAGTCAACGTAGGTGTTCCACCGATCCACAATGACATCCGCCAGGGCCTGGTTGATGTGCTGTGACATGCCACAACGGCAGCAAAACAAGTAGCGACTCACATCAGCCAAACAAGTACCGCCACAGAGAGCGCGAGAGAACGAGAGTAGGCGGGCGAGCTCGAGGAAAAGAGAGCAGGAGAACCGGAGAACGGGAAGGCAGGAGAGCAACACACATACACACACACACACACACACACACACACACACACACACACACACACACACACACACACGCACGCACACAGGCACTCAGTCACACACACACACATACACACACACACATGTGCATACGTTGACGACGTCTGGGTCCGTGTACTTGTGAATGTTGGTGCGATAGATGGGGGTAGCAAAGTGCAAGTGTAGCTGTGCCTTGCCCGTCATGTTGGCCCACCAAGGGGTAGCGTTCCTGGCAGCATCGGCTGCTTCAATCGCATCCCCAACCTGCAAGAACACATTTGTGTCCCGTACACTGGGCTTGCTACCAGAGCAACTGTCTGACGCGTCACTGCACTGTTCCACGCCAGTCTCTCCAGCGCTTGCGTGCGCAATTGGAAACTGAGCAGTGCCAGCAACAACCGCCACCAGCGCCACAGCAGCCCAAGCCATGCACGCCAGAGGCAGCCCACGACACGGCCGTGTCGTCATGTCAGCGCTGGTTGTGTTTTGTGGGTATGAAGGAGGTGGCGGTTGAGAGCTTGTGCACAGCGAAAATGCGGCCCATCTTGTGGTGTGGCGTTGTGATGACTCTCTCAACCCCCCCCCAACCTCTTCAACCGCTTCAACCGCAAGTTCTTCTTGACAGCGTGAGTCTTGCTGATGGCTACCATGCACTGTGTACTTTGGTGGTTAGTTGTATTGCAGACCAAAAGCAGCCATGGTGAGCGCAAGTGAGTCAAGTGAAAACGGGATCAACGCTTGCTTGGTGGGCGTTTACTCCTCCTCCTGCTGCATCGTGTTGGCAATCTGTGTTGCAAGACGATCCAGGTCCTTCTGTCCAACAGGTGTGATCACACGGCCACTACACAAGAAGCGCAAGAAACACGCATGTAGCAGAAAGTGAGCCAGGAAGTGGGGGATGTGAGGAAATGTGGGGTGCAAACACAGGCGTTCCCATGCAAACAACAAGTGCACACCAGCGACAACAGAAAGCACACACTACGGGGAATCACGACATACCAACAACGACAACACACACGCAAAGGAAGGGCGGGTTATGTGTGTGCAAATCAGACTTACCCAGACTCGAGCTCAGCGAGAACCCTGACGCTCTCGAGGGCCTGAACGCACTTGCGGGCAACGGAGCCAGAGCCGCGCTTGAAGTGGTTAGGGCCTAACAGCGAACGGTACCAAAAAAAAAAAAAGTCAAACAACGTGTGAGCGCGTGCGCAGCATGTTCTCGGTCGCAATGGCAGGCGGCTGTGCAAAGCGTGGCTGTGCAAACCGTTGTTGCAACAGCAGCGAACAATGGGCACAACATCCACCCTGACATACACACACGCACCACCAATGTCCGCACCAACCAAACATGACACAACCCCCCCCCACACACACACGTGCAACGCAACAAAGAAAGAGCAACTTACGAGTACCACGACGAGCAGAACCACCGTACACCTTCCTCAGAGCACCAATGCCAACACCACCACGGATGTAGATGTGACGGGCAATGGAGGCTGTTGTGTGTGTGTGTGTGCGTGAAATGAGTGAGCGTTTGGAGGGAGAGGGAGGGGGAGAGAGAGGACAGCAGTCAGGAGAGCACTGCAAGCGAAACAGGCAGATGGGAACGTTGGTCCCAGCCACGCTCCACCGCCACAAACGGAAAAAAAAACCAACAACGTGGCAAATAAGGAAAGCATACCGCAGCGAACGTAGAACCAGTCCTCATCATAGGGAGCGAGCTCCTTGAAGGGGGCGGTCTTGACGTAGTCTGCCCACGCTGGGGGCTTGATCTGTGTGCATCCGAAGAATGGGAAGGTCGGCACACAACAACGAGGCGCTCACAGTCAGTACTCGAACAGCACGCACCACATCATCACAATGTATTGGACACAGGCACCACATGTAACACATGTAACAGCGAGCCATGCGTGCAAGCCAGAAGAAACGCAGCACATGCACGCCCCGACACATACACAAGTGGCAAAGCAACCAACACACACAAGCAAGAACACACACACGCACACCTTGCCCTGCCGCTTCAGGAGCGCGGCATACGCGTGGATGAGCTTGTCGGCGGGGACGTCCTTCACGGTGGCGCTAGGCATCTGTGGGGGGGGGGAAGAGGAAGACGGCAAGGAAGCAAGACGCAAGGGAGGGTCGGGTCAGTCAACGCAGAGTGCCAAGTGACAAGGAAACAACAGAGCCGAGGAAGAGAAGAGAAAGAGAAGAAAGAGGGAACGACGTTCAAGCTAAGACTGCTGCTGCATCACTCGGACGCACAGCGTCTTTCCTCTCGTTCAACTGGACTGTGGATGCTCTGGCACGTCGCTTGCTCCACTCACCCCCCCTCTCTATCTCTCCCTCCCTCTCTATTGCGGTCAAGTCGGCAGACGTGCTGGTCGTCGAGGGTTCATCATCGCTGCAACTACACTGCGTCGTGTGTGTCTGGTAGTGTGTGCGCCTGCGTCGCCCACAACACACACGCCCACACGCACACAATGGCCGGCAGTACTGCTTCCGTGCACCCTGAGTGCACTGAGGGGGTTGTCTCTGTTCTCCCCCCTCCTCCATCATCATCGCACATGCACCACTCCTCAGCAGCCACCTGCCACCAGGCACGCACGCACGCATGATCCACCTCTGCTTCTCGTGTCTCACCTTTGGTGGTGGTGGTGTTCACGCGAGAGGCAAGACGAGAGGGAAAAGGCACTCTGGTCGGAAAGCACGCGCTTTGCGATTGTCGGAAAACACTCAAGAAGACAATTTGCCGTATCTTCAAACAAAAACAGTCGCTGGTTGTGCATTTTCATAGTGTCGCATACCGCTGCTCAATTCGTCTGCTAGAGCGTTCGCGAGGACCAAGGACTCACATCACGTCAACCAACATGGCTGGTGGTGGCAGCGATGGCGTGGACCGCAAGCGGCGGCACGACGACGATGGTGTTGGAAGGCCAGACGCAGGTGATGCAGCGGCAGGTGCTGTGGACGCCAAACGGCCCAAGGCAAGCGACTCAAAGGTGTGTGTGTGTGTGTGTGTGTGTGTGGGTGTGTGGGTGTGTGGGTGTGTTGCTGGTTTGGTGGGTGCTTGTGCACGTGTGCAGCTTGGCGGAGTGACACTGCGCATGCATGCATCAACTCACTTGCACACACACACGCACGCACACGCACGCACACACATGCTCACACAACAACAACAACAACAACAACAACAACAACAACAACAACAACAACAACAACAACAACAACAACAACAACAACAACAACAACAACAACAACAACAACAACAACAACAACAACAACAACAACAACAACAACAACAACAACAACAACACCACCACCAACAACAACAAATGTTCACTCACCCCCCCCCCCCAACACACACACACACACAAACGCTCAACACACGCTCACACACACGCTCACGCGCAGTTCAAGGAAGAGTTGGCAAAGAAAAAGGCCCAGGAAGAGAAGATCAGGGCGCGACGAGAGCGGCTGGCGTCATGGCGCAAAAAGATGGAGAAGATGAAGAGTAGTAAAGAACAGCAAGGCCAGAGCGACAAGGAAGCGCAACCACAAAGCGACCAAGCTGCCAGCGCCAGCAGCTCTAGCAAACCTACAAAAGTCTCCCTCAACAACAAGGTAAATGCAGTGATGTGAAGCAAGCACGATACCGTCTAGTTCAGCACCTTTTATCTTGTTCTACACCTCACAAAGGCCTGCACTTCAGCTTGTCTCTTACCACACGTGCAGTCGCAATGAACACGCAACATCCACACACACACACACACACACACACACCTCACGCAGACACATACCCTCACACCCGCACTCACACTCCAACTCACCCTCCCACCCACACTCACACTCAAACTCACCCTCACACTCACCCTCACACTCACCCTCACACTCACCTTCACACTCAACCTCACACACCCTAATAGATGCGGCCAGCAGCAGTGTCGAATGGCATGTTTGCGGAAGAAGAGGAGGAAGCAAAACCAAAGCCCAGCATGGCTGTGCCCGCCAACATCCTGGCCAAGTTCAAGCAGGCACAACAGAACCGACAGTCCGCTCTGGACAACGATGATGCTGATGACAAGAAGGACGACGACGATGACGAGGAGGAGGACGATGGCACGGATCCACTTGACGCGTTCATGCAGTCTGTTGACACCGAGGTCACCAAGATCAAAGCACAGGACGCAAAGCGCATGCGAACACACAAGATGCTCGGTATCCTGGGGCAAAGCAAGCGCGGCGAGAAAATCTCAGACGCAAACGGTGCGTTGGTGATGGGATGTGTTATGATGTGCTCGCTGTGTGCATGCGTGCGTGTGTGCCCATATCTGCATGCGTATGCGCACGTGTATGCGCACGCGTGTGCGTATGAGTATTTGTGTGTGTGTTTGTACATGGCTGCTCATGTGCGAAATTTGTATGCGTATGTGTATCTGCATGCATATGTGCATGAGTATTTGTATGTGTGTTTGTACCTGTGTTTGTACCTGTGTTTGTACATGGCTGATCATGTGTGCTACCCCCAATCCACAACTGCCTCGCCCCCCCCCCCGGGTGCTGCCATGTAATATTCGTCCTGGCCATTGGCATCGTTCATCTTCACATTCATCGTTGACCCATGGCAATGGCCTGCTGCGTTTGTTCCATGTGATGGCTTGCAGAGGGCTTTGACTATCCCTTGAGCGACGAGGAGGAGGAAGAGCAGGCGGGCCAGCCCAAGTACTGGAGCGGCTACACGCCAAAGCAGCCCCGCGAACTCGGCGTCCCAGATCACGCAAAGATCGAATACGAAGGTGTGTGCGCGAGTATGCTTTGTACATGTGTTTGTGTGTGCTTGTGTGAGTGTCTGTCTGTCTGTCTGTCTCTGTGTCTGTCTGTCTCCCTCTCTCTCTCTCTGTGACTCTGTGACTCTGTGTGTCTGTATCTGTGCAATCCGCTGTCCCCTCTCCAATCTCCATATTTGCACTGTCCATGTGTCACCCCACGCCGTTTCCTTCCACACCGCTTATCCCTCCACATCCTCCCACCATTACATTCTGCGTCATGCAGACTTCCGCAAGAGCTTCTATGTTGAGGTGCCTGAGATCAAGCGCATGTCTGACCAGGAGGTGGCCCAGCTCCGCTTTGAGCTCGAGAACATCAAGACACGCGGCCGCGATTGCCCACGGCCCATCAAGACGTGGAACCAGTCTGGCCTCCCGCGCCGCGTGCTCGACGTTCTCAGGGCCCTCAAGTATGACGACCCGACGCCGATCCAGGCGCAGGCCCTGCCCGTCATCATGTCTGGTCGCGACATGCTCGGCATTGCCAAGACGGGCTCTGGCAAGACGCTCGCCTTCCTCCTCCCCATGCTCAGACACGTCCTCGACCAGCGCCGCGTCCGCCAGGGAGAGGTCCGTGCAACCGCGCATTTGTGTGCATGCATGTTTGTGTGCATGTGTGTGTGTGCACGTGTGCATGCATGTGTGTGTGTGTGTGTGTGCGCGCGCATGTGTGTGTGTGCATGTGTGTTTTTTTTTTTTGCGTGCTGTATGTCCTGACCGCTCCTTGTCTGCGTGCACTTGTTGTATCCACTGTTTCCCTTTGCCACTGTCATTCAACACCGAATCTGACGAGCTTACTCACCATTTACACGCACACCTCGACATGGAAATGGCTGCGGGTGCAGGGCTGCATTGCGCTGATCCTGTCGCCAACGCGCGAGCTTGCTGTACAAACATACACGGAGGCGAAGAAGTTCACCAAGCACCTGGACCTGCGCATTGCGTGCGTGTACGGCGGCTCAGACATTGCGGACCAGATTGCCCACCTGAAGCGCTCCGTGGAGATTATCGTGTGCACGCCCGGGCGCATGATTGACATGCTGACGGTGAACCGGGGCAAGGTGACCAACCCGCGGCGCATCACGTATGTGGTGCTGGACGAGGCCGACCGCATGTTCGACATGGGCTTTGAGCCGCAGGTCATGCGCATCCTGGACAACATCCGGCCCGACAGGCAGACGGTCATGTTCTCCGCCACCTTCCCGCGCGCCATGGAGGTGCTTGCGCGCAAGATTCTGAAGAAGCCCATTGAGATCCAGGTGGGCGGGCGCAGCATTGTCAGCGACACGGTGGAGCAGCACGTGCTCGTACTGGAGGAGCAAAACAAGTTTAACAAGCTTCTCGAGCTGCTGGGCATCTACTACGTGCAGGGCAGCGTGATTGTGTTTGTGCACCGGCAGGAGAAGGCAGACATGCTGCTGACGAACCTGATGGGCCACGGGTACATGAGCCTGCCGCTGCACGGCGCCGTCTCCCAGGAGGACCGCCAGTCAAACATCCGCGACTTCAAGCTGGGCAACGTCAAGATCCTCATTGCCACCTCCGTTGCGGCGCGCGGGCTGGACGTGAAGAGCCTCAAGCTTGTTGTCAACTACGACTGCCCAAACCACTACGAGGACTACGTGCACCGGTGCGGCCGCACGGGCCGCGCAGGGAACAAGGGCACTGCGTTTACCTTTGTCACCAAGGACGACAAGCAGCTTGCCGGGCACGTGATCAAGGCGCTGGAGCTGTCCAGCCAGGAGGTGCCGGCAGACCTCAAGGCCGTGTGGGAGGAGTACAAGAAGGAGATGAAGGCCAAGGGCAAGCGCATCGGGGCCGGGTCCGGGTTTCGGGGCCGCGGGTACAAGTTCAGCGCCGAGGAGCTCATCCGGCGCAAGCAGATGAAGCTGCTGGCGCTCAAGGCGCACAGCGAAGGAAACCTGGACGCAGACTACAAGGAGCGGGAGCAGGAGCTGGCGGAGGAGATTGAGTCGCAGGTGGACATTCTCATGGGCAAGAAGCCCAAGGCGCAGCTTGAGGATGAGGAGACGGAGGAGCGCGCCGCAGACCAGGACAAGGACGCAACGGGCACCGCCGACGCCGCCGCAGAGGGCGCAGCGGCAACGGCAGCAGGAGGGGCGGACTCGTCGTCGCTGGAGACCAAGGCCAAGGTTGCGGCAGCAACAGCGCCGCTGCTCGGCGCAACGCCCGCCGACGCCCTGCTCACGGGACCAGGTGCCACCACCACGTCCTCCTCCTCCTCCTCCTCATCATCAGCGTCGGCGACGGCAGCGACAGGCGGTGCAGAGGGCACTACCGCTGCTGGTGGTAAAGATGGACTGCTGGGCGCAGCGCCGGCTGGGCAGGCCAAGGCGGCAGACCCGCTGGCGAAGATGGCGGAGGCCATGGCGCGCGCAAAGGCCGTGAACCAGAAGTACGGGTTTGAGTCGCTTGCGGAGCTCAAGGCAAAACAGCAGCAGCAGCAACAACAGCAGCAGCAGCAGCAGCAGGCGGGACCGGGCCACTTTGAGGAAGAGATTGAGGTGAACGACTGGCCGCAGCAGGCGCGGTGGAAGGTGACGCGCAAGGAGTTTATGACGGAGGTTGCGGAGACGTGCGACGCGGCCATCACGGTTCGTGGCACGTTCTTCCCGCGCGGGTCAAAGCGGCCAAAGGGCATGGAGAACGAGCGGCCCATCTACATCTGCATCGAGGCGCAGAACCAGGCTGCCGTGGACAGGGCCGTCAATCTGTGCCGCCAGGTGCTCAAGGAGGAGCTGCACACCGCAGCCACCACCTTCCAGCCACAGAGCCGCTCGCAGCAGCAGCCGGGCAGGTACCGCGTGCTTGCGCTCACAGGCGGCAAGTAGACGCGTGTGGTTGCATTCCTATGGTTGCATGGCCATGGTTGTATGTGTGCGCACTTTTGTGCTCCCTGTGCTCCGGTACTGTGCACGCGCGTATGTTGGTGTTGGTGTTGGTGTGTGTGTGTGTGTGTGTGTGTGTGTGTGTGTGTGTGCTTCCTACTTGTAGCTGACGCTCACTGGACAGCGAGTGGGTGGCTTGTGTCTTGTATGGTCGCGATGAGTTGGTATGAATGTATGTAAAACAAACCCATAAACTCCCAAATCACAGCAGCAGAGAGAGCGCAAGGAGAGCGAACTCAGACATGAGTTGACGAGCGGAGGGAGGCGTCGTACCGTCGCACCAACACAACAACAGCAACAACAACGACGACGGACGGATCAAAGCTGCTCTTTGTCTATGATAGTTAGTGGATAACGTACGCCAATTTTCAGCGACCTTTTGCGTCATCTCCCGCCCGCCTGCAGAAGGAGGAAAAGAGAAAGGAGAGGTGGCACGGCACGCACAACCACAGACCGGAAAAGGAAGGCAGCCATCATGTCGTTGGCGGACGAGCTTGGATATGATGATGTGTTTGAGATCCACGTGGAGCGTGGGACTCAAGGGTTTGGCTTCAACATCAAAGGGACAACACAGGCCGGTGGTGTCCTTCAAGCCATCAACGGTCGCCTGTACCCGCCTTTGCAATACATCAGCCACGTTGACGAAGGTGTGTTTGTGCGTGTGTTTGTGTGTGTACACGTGTGTGCATGTGTGTGTGCATGTGTGTGTGCATGTGTGTACACGTGTGTGTGTACATGCGTGTGTGCGTGTGTACGTGCGTGTGTACGTGCGTGTGTATTTTGGTTGGGTTGGCCTCTTGTGGTCCACGTGCCGGTGTCGTTACACGCGATTGAGCACGACAGAGCCTCCACACTGGCCAGTTGGGTCCAAGGGCAAGGGTGAACCGATCCTCGCACTCATTGTGATACTGGCACATGCGCACATACTGGGCTCTCACCACTCTCGTTCCCAAATACCCACTGATATTCACACACTCACTCGAACACTCGAACACACACACACACACGCACACGCAAACACACACATATGACACGACACGCTGCAACTCCATGCCACAATGAAATCTGTCTACTTGTTGTCACTCTCCATGTAATTCTGATGACGGTGTTTTGAACAGGTGGTGCCGCATGGCGAGCTGGTCTGCGTTGCTGGGACCGTGTGCTGAGCGTCAACAACACTGACGTGCGCGGCGCATCCCACAACGAGGTTGTCAAGAACATCATCAGGGGCGGCGAATCGCTGGACCTCATTGTGATTCGTGTGGACGACGAGGAAGCTGCGCGTCTGCAGCGCTTGGAGGATGCCGCCAACAGCACCCGCAAGGGCCGGGGCAAGTCTGCCCCCATCTCCATCCAGGACTTCAACAACCTGCCCAACCCTGCCGGCAAGGGCAACTACACCGTGTTCAACGTCTACACGCACGGCGACTACCGCACGTCCAAGCGCTACAGTGAGCTTGCCAACTTGCACAAGCAACTCAAGGCTCGTTTCCGCTGGCACAACTTCCCACCTTTCCCACCAAAGAAGATGAATGGCCTCTTCTCCGGCGCACTCGGCGTACGTCACATTGGCTGCTGTGTGTGTATGTGTATGTATGTGTGTGCGTGTGTATCTCTCTCTCTCTCTGTGTAAAGGTAGTGGCAGGTGAGAGTTTTAAATGTGCATGTATGCAATGCGCGTGGTATACACACGCATGCAAAGCGTTGACATTTGACGTTTTGAGAAGGAAGATGGCTCAGGTTTGTTTGTTCGCTACACAACCACGCGCTTGTCTCACCTCGTATTCATTCATCCATGAGTGCTTCCCTCCATCCGCCTGTCCATCCCTCCATCCATCCCATGCAGCCGTCTGACCTTGAGCAACGCCGCGAAGCCCTGCAAATCTATCTGCAGAAAGGTACGACATCACAACCCCTCAACCATCTGTGTTGCAGCCAACGAACAACCCCGCACGCACACGTGTGCCTGGACTTGTCCACATGATCTGTCCTTCTTGTTTGCTTCACGATGCAGCTCATGTAACTGCCACCCACCTGATCGGTGTCTCACTTCCCGAACAAACGAACAAACCACCAAACAAACAACACATCCATGCACCTTGGCGCCAAACCGTGCGCTGTCCGCGTCAGTGTATGAGGTGGAGGATATTCGCAACAGCGAGCTGTTTGCTGAGTTTCTCAAGCCCTCAGACTACAGACCGCCAAACGCGCCCACCCCGTCCCCGCCATCGTCAGTTGTGTCTTTCTGTGTGTATCTGTGTCTGTGTGTGTCTGTCTGTCTGTGTCTCTGTGTCTCTGTGTGTGAACGCACGCACGCCTGTGTGTGTGTGTGTGTGTGTGTGTGTGTGTGTGTGTGTGTGTGTGTGTGTGTGTGTGTGTGTGTGTGTGCGTGCTCCCCTCAAGTGTGTTTTGCGCCTGACTTGTTTGCGCCTGAAGTGTCCTCACACACCCTCCCCCCCCCCCCGCTCCCACCAGGTCTAGTGCCGTGAGCTCGTCCAATCTGAATGCGCGGCGGGCAACGGCGACCAGCAGCGGCAGCAGTGCAGCAGCGAAGACTGCCACCAAGCAGCGCACGGACGAGGCACAGAAGCAGCCGCAGCAGCAAGAGAAAGCGAAGAAGCAAGACGTGAAGAAGACAGAGGAAGCAAAGAGAGGTGCGCCTGCATCATCCACATCCACGCCGAAGGACGCCCTCTCAACCCCGTCATCGGCAAAGGTGGGGATTAAGGCAGTGGACTTGGAAGGGTTGCAGCGGTAGCTGTCGACATTGTTGTTGGCAGTGGTGGTGGTGATGGTGGTGGTGGTGGTCGTTGATTGTTGCTATCACTGGGACCTCTCGCCGGCACACACACACACACACACACACACACACACACACACACACACACACACACACACACACAAGCACACACACACACACATATGCACGCTCTCTCACACACTCTCTCACTCGCACACGTGCTGTGGCTGCTGTTGGCATGCGCAGAAGAAGGCAGTGCCAGCAAACCTGGTAAGTGCGAACTTTGTTTCATCCCTTTGTGCTTACGTACACGTGCTTGCATGCAACGCTGGCGCTGGCATTGTGACTTGTTTCATTGAGCGTGTGTCCTGACTGTGTGCGCTTGCGTGCGTGCGTGTGTGTATGTATGTGTTTGCAGTTTGACTTTGACGACGAGGAGCCCGAGGCCGTGAAGGAACTGTCTGATGACGACGAACAGGAAGCAGAAGAGGAAGCAGAACAAGCGCAGGAGGAAGAACAGGAGCAAGAAGAGGAAGAGGAGGAACAGGAAGAACCAGCGGCTGTTGAAGAGGAAGAGGAAGAGGAGGACGCTGCAGTGCAGGAGACAAGGTCAGATTCATGAACCGTGTGTGTGTGTGTGTGTGTGTGTGTGTGTGTGTGTGTGTGTGTGTGTGTGTGTGTGTGTTTGTCCCGCATGTATGTGTGTGTGCTGGTGTTTCGCATATCGTTTCCCTCACCAACTACGTCCCCCCCAACCCAACTCCAACACTGGTCCATGTGACAGCTTTGCGGTGCTTGTGCCAACAGGTGATGTTGTGCGCGTGTCGCTCAGCAGCGACGCAACCGTCGCAGACGTCCTCCAGGTGAATTGGGGCTGTGCCATCGTGTATGCGCGCATGCGTGTGGGTGTGGGTGCACGCGCGTCCTTGTGTATGTATACCTACGTGCGTACGCGTGTACAAGAGCTCGTGTGTGTGTGCATGGTCGCTTACACTTTGAGCTTTCCTTCGTACCCGAGCGACTGCGCATGCTTGCTTCATCCGTCACCTGCGCTGCAGCCGTGCAGCACCCTCGCCTCACCATCCGCCCAATCTATTCTCGTTGATGCATGCTTGCCTGTGTGCCAGGCTGCCCTTGACAAGCTTGGTGTCGAAGGCTTTGCCCGCAACATCTTTGCGCTGTTTGAGTCCACAACAGACACACCGTCCACAGATCCCCTCGACCACGAGTTTGGTGCGTTACTGTTGCTATCGCGGCTGACTGCGTCCGAATTTATGTATCAACATGCATCCGTTCGTCTTCAGTGCCACATTCCCACGCACGCACGCACACACGAACACACACACACACACACACACACACACTCTCTCTCTCTCTCTCCCCCTCACACACTCACACATGCACACAAAACACACACACACTCTCTCTCTCCCTCACACACTCACACGCTCACATATGCACGCGCAGACCACAAGCTTGATGACGACGAGCTGGCGGCGTCTGTATCGAAGCAGCTGCTCCTGCGGCGATGGCTGTTCACGACATCACAAGAGCCCGCTGCGGACACGTGCTCTGCTGCTGTGTCGCTGCTTGTGCACCAGGCGATCAACGACATCAAGCAGGGACGCCTGTACTGCACCCCGAAGAAGAAGCAGAAGCTGCTTGATTCTGCAAAGGACCTCGACACAGACAAGGTGCGTTTCCTCGTCGATGCACATGATGACGAATGGTGACGCGTGTTGTGCATGCTGGAAGCTCTCTACTTCACAACGCTGAAACGCTCTTTCGAATTCACCCCCCCCCCCACGCCTGCACTGCTGTCCTTCATCGCAGTATCCCGCCTTCCTTGGTGTTGTGCGCAAGCTGAAGATGTATGGCGGTGTGCTCTTGCCGCCCTGCACCGACGATGACGCCAACGTGAGCACCCGTGGTGATGGTGGTGCTGGTGGTGGCGTGATGTCTTGGGTGATTGATGAGAAACACACGCGAGCGAGAGGAAGGAGGGAGGGAAGTTGTGCTGTGTATGACCGCATTACTCGCTTAATTGCGTGAAGCCGTAAAACGCATCTGCCTGTGCCCGCTACATTCCACTCACCTGTACCACCTGCGCCCTTGCTCATACGGCGCTGCGTTCGCTGCATGTGCAGTCCATCATCGTCACCGTCACCGCCGATCGCCTCATCCTGCAGAAGACCGACGACGACGGCAACCCATCGGTGAGCAATTGTGCGTGTGCGTGTGTGTGTGTGTGTGTGTGTGTGTGTGTGTGTGTGTGTGTGTGTGTGTGTGTGTGTGTGTGTGCGAGTGCGTGGATGTGTGTGCGTGTGCGTGGATGTGTGTGCGTGTGTGTGAAGGTGTGTGCGTGTGTGTGGATGTGTGTGCGTGTGTGTGGATGTGTGGATGTGGATGTGTGTGTGTGTGTGTTTTGACAGCAACGAACGCTCTCGCCTCCCTTTCCTGCATCTCACAAACCACATCGTTTCCCGCTCTTGTTGCCGCTCCAGACGGATGATGAGGACGTGTCTGTGTTTGAGTTTGAGCAGCTGAGCAAAGTCCGCAGGTGCGTCATGCATACGTGTTTGCGTGAACTGCACGCACACTTTGCAAACCACGACTTTGCGCCACTCTGTTGTGCCCTCTCTCCTCACCCAACCCCCACCCGTGTGCTTGTTCACGTCACCATCACTACCATCCACCATGCACCACATACCTTGCACCGTGCACCCTCACGTCTATGCAGGCGCGATGATCTGCTCGGCTTCAAGGCGACCGGCGCTGACGGCGAACAGCAGACGGTCAAGCTCACCAGCGAACACGTGAGTATGCAACTGCAACGACACACACACACACACACACACACACACACACACACACACACACACACACACACACACACACACACACACACACACAGAGCACACAGCACACAGCACACAGCACACACACACACACACACAACCTCACGTGCGCGTGTTTGTGCACGCAGGCGGCGTACATGGAGACGTGCATCAAGCGCGCGTTTATGGAGCAGAAGTGGGCCGATGGCTCCGCTGAGGGCGGCTTCTTCCAGTAGTCAATGGACGATGAATTGCACTCAATGATGAATTGCACCTCCATTCTGCTTCTCTGATGCTTCCACACGCCGCATGCTGTTGTGTTGATAGCCTGCACACTGCTTGCTCTGCACCTGATTGTCTTCCCTCCCCGCCTCACGTCTGCATCACTGTACTGTGTGTATGTGTGTGTGTGTGTGTGTGTGTGTGTGTGTCGGTCTGCTTGCGTTTTCAGTGACCCACTTTTGTGTTTCGTGCTTCTCTTTCTGTCGTGGTTGCTGTGGCTTTTTCTTGCTTCGCCCAGTTTGTCTTGGTTTTGCTCGCTGCGTTGGGTTTCAGCTGCTTTTCGTCTTGCTGGTGCGTTACTTGCATCTCGTCTTGTTCCTGGCGTGTTGTGCGTGTGCTCTGTACGCGTGCGCGCACCGAAACCAGGCATGTTGTGCCATCAACGTATACTTCTTTTCTGTCTAACAGAACGAGCAACCCGCACAAGCAAGGAACAATGCGGCGAAGGGTAGATGGTAACGAGCAGGTACCCCCACAAAAGATCACGTGCACACACACACACACACACACACACACACACACACACACACACACACACACACACACACACACACACACACACACACACACACACACACACACACACAAATGCAGTGTATTATTTGCTTAGAACATGGGCACAGTTGCTTTGAAGCGGTCCAAGCCCGAGGCCACTTGCTGCGCCTCCTGAATCGCAGACTTTCGTGCAAGTCTACAGTCACGTCAAGTCAATCCATCACATGAATATGAGCACGCACTCAAGCAAGGGAGGGGAGAAAGAACAGGTCAGTGAAATGAAACAAAAGTATGAGGACCCCAAACTGCGCGTATAGCTCTGTGCCTCGGAAAAGGGCAAACGCATGAGATTGTTCTGCCATCCTTGTGACCAGCAAAGTGTGCACTGCAAACGCACACGACCTTACCTGATTTCGGGCTTGCCATCGGAGTCAATCTGATCCAACTGCAGCATTTCCCTTGTGATGTATTCGTTCAGCTCGAGATACTTGCGTTGTACCTGCTGCTTTGGCATTTGCCGCCAGTTTTGTGTCAATGCTGCCAAGTCTGTGTTCAGCTGACGAATCTGCTGTCGGTGCTGTTCGATCTTCTCCATTTGGTGAGGAATCGCAGGTGCTGCTGCCTGTGCAATCCATCGAGGCATTCGGGCGTATCGGTTTGTCGGCGTGTGCGTGTGTGCGCGCGAGCGTGCGTATGCGTCAGCGTGCGTGTGTGTACAGGTGTGAGGATCGTGCAAACCCACATGATATGCAGCCACATGCACAACCACAAACACAACCACAACCACAACCACAATCACAACCACAACCACAGCCACAACCACAGCCACAACCACAAACACAAACACAACCACAGCCACAGCCACAGCCACAACCACAACCACAACCACAACCACAACCACAAACGTCCAAACCTGTGGCGGCGCATGTTGAGCTGGGGTGGGTGGGTTCCATGAGGTTGTTTTGGTGTTGTGGTCGACGTAGAAAGTGCGCCTGGTGTTGGGATCATACCTGGCCTCCCACCCAGGCGGCAGCTGCGGCTGCGACTGCTGCTGCGAGTGTGGTTGGTGTGGCTGTTGAGGAAAGAAGGGCATGGTGGTGTGCTGGGTTGCCGAAGTGTGGTGGTGGTTGTCCTCTCCGAAACCGTGGTCTTGGCGGAAAATCGGTCAAAATACCAACAAATATTCGCTGTGTGTGTGTGTGTGTCTCTCTCTCTCTCTCTCTCTCTCTCTCTCTCTCTCTCTCTCTCTCTCTCTCTCTCTCTCTCTCTCTCTCTCTCTCTCTCTCTCTCTCTCTCTCTCTCTGTGCCATCCTGACCCTCGACGCTTGTGTTGCCCTCTCCTCAGCACACTGAATCGTTTACTAAGGTGTAGGCCGCCACACCTTCAATGGCTAAGTAGGGGAAGAGAGAGAGAGAGAGAGATCAGCCAACATAACCGACAAAAGCATCAACTACGCACTGTAGGTCAAATATTCCACCAACTACGAATAAAGCAACGCTAACCCTTCCATGACATGCAATTCCAGGGTATCACACACAACTACACGCAACTACACCACAAAAGACACACACACAAGTGCACAACGACAAAGAAGCACTAGCGGACACACCACAGATACTCGCATACACCATTTACACCAGCACACCGAGAGCAGCGGGCTCACGCCTCGTGATCGGCCTGGGCGCAGAGGCGCCAGGAAGCGGCGGCGGTGTTGTGGTCGAGAAACGCTGCTTCGAGTTCAGCAAACGTGGGCCGCTCGTCCGGATCGCCCGCCATGCACCGCAGCGAAAGCGCCTGAAACCACTCTGGCACGCCTGTTAATGATGGTGGCAACGCACGCACACGTGTTGTTGTGCAGTGTCAGATGGTGCATGTGGTGCGGTGATGAGTGTGATGGCTAGTGTGGGGGCGAGTATGGTGAGGATGCCGTCCCCCTTTCAACGAGGGCAGAGAGGGAAGCCACAAACACGCGCAGAGAGAGACAGAGACAGAGGCAGAGACACAGAGAGAAGGAGAAACACACACACACAGGCACAAACACAGACATACGTGCAGACACACATACACACAGACACACGGACACACACACAGGCACACACACAGGCACACAAAGACACACACACACACACAGGCACACAAAGACACACACACACACAGGCACACAAAGACACACACACACAGGCACACAAAGACACACACGCGTGCGCAAGGATGCAAGTGTTACTCACAGTTGCCTGCGCAGTCTGAGCGGTCGAAGCGCAGGCGCCTGCCGTCGCTGAGGAGGCGCTGCAGTGCTGTCAAATACCGCTCGTTAATGTCGCTGCCAAGCTCCTGTGCCACCAAGTCGGGCTGCTTCTCCACGGCAAGCTCCCACAACACAACCCCAAAGCTGAACACGTCCGCCTGTGCCGAGTACGGCTCGCCACGTGCCACTTCCGGCGCCATGTACGGCGGTGTCCCCGCGGCCTTTGTGGCGCTGCTGCCGCCCGTGGTCAGCTCGTGGATTGTGCCAAAGTCCGTGATCTTGCCCCGAAGATCAGCAGAGACAAGCACATTGCCGCTCTTCAGATCCCTGTCGGCACACGCCCACAAGACATGGCGATGTAGTGTTGAGGTGATGCATGCCTGCAATGACCAAACACATCACCCGAAACGCATGCACCAAGCCTGCACACAAACACACACACACATCACGTCACATCACACACACAGTCATTCAAGCGCGCACACCCACGCATACACACATACACACAAACACACATCACATCACATCACATCACACATCACACACTTCCACACGCAAGCACAGAGACAAACACCCACACACACCTGTGAAAGTGGTCGAGCTTGTGGATGTAGGCCATGCCGTGTGCAATGTCGAGGGCGAGGCGGTGTTTGAGGTCCCAATATGACATGCCGCCCGCATCGGACGAGCGCGAGTCAACGGTGATGGTCTGCAGCCGCAGCCGCACATCATCAGGGGAGGCCGACACCGCGCTTGGTAGCAACGGCTCCTTCACATCGCCGTCCAATGTGGAAAACATGCTGTTGCTGCTGGTGGTCGCGAAGAGTCCACTGCCACCGCCACTACGACCGGTCATGTTGTCGTAGTCGCCAGTGGACACGTCAATGATTGCCGACATGTCAACCTTGGTCATGCTGCTGCTGCTGAGGCCATCACCGCCGCACATGTGCAGGCGCCACAGCGAGTGCAGTGTCTGCACACGCTCGCTTTTCTGCGTCCGGGAGCCGCGCAGGGATGTGTGCACAGGCGCGCCCTGCGCGTCGCCCGTGCCAAGCAGCCCTTCCAGCGAGCCATACTTGACAAAGTCCAGCACGAGGAACGGGCAGCCGTCCGGGTTTGTGCCTGCGCCATGGAAGAAGACAATGTTCTCGCACTTGCGGGCCAGCTGCAGAAACTGCGCCTCCTGTCGAAACTTGTCGATTGTCGAGTCGTCGAGCTCCTTCATGGCGTGGCGCAGCACCTTCACCGCCACCGTCTGCCCCGTGCGCCGGAACGTGGCCCGCCACACCTCGCCGAACGTGCCCGCGTCAATGCGTCGTGTCAGCGTCACCTGCTTGAAGGGAATCACCCACGCGCCCTCCATTGCCGCCAGCTTGCGCTTGTTCTCGCGGGTGATGCGCTGCGCCGCTGCAAGCCCGCGCCGCTGCCACACAAACACGGCGCCCGTGATGACGAGCACGAGCACAAACGACACGCTCAGCCCCGTGATGAGCGCGGTCCTGCTGCGGTTACTCACGCACAGCCCGCCGCTCTGGTGGTAGCCGCTGGCGCACCTGCAGCGGTACTCCAGGGCAAGCTGCGTCTGGTGGCTGCCGGGGTCGTCGCGCGGCTGCACCACCACGTGCCGGAACGCCGTGCGGCAAACGACGGGCGTGTTCTGCATGGTCACCGTCGGCGCGTCGGCCCTGCTCTCCAGGAAGTACAGGTGCGGGTCCTGGAACTGCTGCGACGACAGCACAATCGGGCGGCTGGTGATCTCCTGCATGCGCGTCAGCCGCTTCATCCACGCGCTCTCGCTCAGGTCAATCACCTCGCTCTGCTCCACGCACCGCACGAACAGCTCGGGTCCCTGGGCGAGCAGCAACGGGTTGTTGACGCCGCGGTAGAAGAAAATGCGTGAACCCCAGTCGGTACATAGCGGCGTGATGGAGGTCACGCTCGTGTACGAGAGGTCAATTGACTCCACGCGCGGCACAAGCAGCGTCGTCAGGGACCGGCACCCAAACAGGTTGAGCTGCTCCAGGGCGTTGTGGATGCGCACGCTCTCCAGGCGCATGTTGTTGGGCAGAAACACGGCCCGAAACGTCTTGTCTGCACACAGGTCCATGTGCGTGTACCCGGTGCCCGTGAGCGCAAACTCCTCCACGTTGTTGGCGAGCACCTTGCAGAGCGCATCGAGGTGGATGATGTCGGTGTTCATGCCGGGCCAGCCCGCCGCGAACCGCTTCAACTGCAGCTGCAGCTGTGTCAGCTTGAGCGGGAAGGTGGCGGGCAGCACGATACCGGTGACGTCCAGCGCCTCCAGGTGCGTGCCGATGCTGCTCGACACGCTAAGCGGCTCTGCATGGGCGTCGTGGAAGGTGGGCGCTGACGCAATCTCGAGCGTCTGCAGGTATGGCAGGGTGAGCAGTGGGAGGAGGTTGAGGCGGGGGATGGTGTGGCCGTTGCTGCGAATGATGCGCAGGTTTGTCAGTTGTGCGATGTCTGGCTGCACCACGAGCGGGTTGCCGTGCAGCTGCAGCTCCTCAAGACTCATCAGCGGCCGCGCTGTCTCAAACGCAGACAGCTTGTTGTCGGGCAGCAGCAGCACGCGCAGGCGCGGCGAGCCATCAAACAGGGCCGGGGGGATGCTGCTGAGGCGGTTGCTGCCAAAGTCAATGTACTCCAGCGCGGTGAGGGCAGCGAGCGTTCTGACGTGCAGGGTGCTGATTGCGTTGTCGTGGAGGGCAAGCAGCTCCAGGCGCTGCAGGTTGGTGAATGCCGCCTCGTGCACGGTTGCAATGTCGTTGCCCATGAGAAACAGCTGCCGCAGCTGCGTCAGCGCGTCGAACATGTGCGGTGTGACGTGGGTGAGCCGGTTGCGGGTGAAGCTGAGGTGCTGCAGACGCGTGAGGGCATCCAGCACGCCGTTGGCAATGGACGTGATGCGGCAGCGGTACAGGAACAGCGTCTTCAGGTTGATGGTGCTGTCAAACAGGCCCGCAGGAAGGTCTTCCAGCTGCGTGCTGAACGCATACAGCTCCTCCAGCTGTGTCTGCTGCGCAAACAGGGCCGCGGGGAAGTGGGTGAGCGGGTTGTTGTCGAGTGCAAGAAGGCGTAGGGCGGTGTTGCTGGCGAACGTGTGTGGGTCCAGCAGGGAGATGCCGTTGTATCCGAGATCGAGGTGCGTCAGGTTGAACAGCTCGTCAAACATGCGCTCGTGCACAGACGACAGGCGGTTGTTGTGCAGGGTGAGGGTGCTGATGCGGCGGTTGTCGGCGAACATGTCGTCGTCGAGATCACGCACGTGGTTGTTGTCCCAGTGCAAGGTGAGCAGGTTCGGCATGGCGGCGATGGTGTCGTGGTCAAGCTCCGACAGGCTGTTGCCGCTCATGTCCAGCGTGGTGACCGAGGGGCCGTGCACGAACACGTCTGTGTCGTCGTCCGCGCGCGTGGGCCGCACCTCTGTCAGCTCGCTGTGGCTGAGGTCGATGGTGTGCAGTGGTGGCAGCGAGTTGAACATGGACAGGTGCAGGCTTGAGCTCTGCAGGCCGTGCACGCTGACTTTGGAGGCGTTGGGGAAGTGAAACGACAGGATCAGCTCAATGTCGGCTGGAAGCATGCGCCCTGAGATTGTGACGTGCGACGGCTGCACAATGTCGATGATGCGCTCCTGTACAAACTGCCGTCGGCCGTCGTCCGGGTGCACGAGCGGCTCTGTGCCGCCCTCGATGTTGAAGATGAGCTCCGTGGTGAGCACGGTGAAGGTGCAGTCGAAGATGAAGTTGCGCGAGACATCGCACACCACGGGCCGGGAGAAGAAGGCGTCCTCTGTGGTGGAGCTGGTGGTTGTCGTTGTTGTTGTTGTTGCGGTTGTCGTGGTGGTCGTTGTCGTTGTGGCTTGAGTCGCTGCACCTGCTGTTGTTGTGGTTGATGTGTCTGCGCGGCGTTGGCGAAACAGCTGACGCACATCCTTGCTGTTCAACTCGCCATCTGGTGTCGGCTGAATAAGGATGCTTGCTTCTTCCTGCTGCTGATGCTTCTGCTGCTTCTGCTGCTGCTGCTGTTGTTGTTGTTGTTGTCGTGTGGGAGGAAGGGTGTCAGCAGTGTTGGTGACTGTTCGCACACGAACAGCAGGGTGGGCAGAGGTGGCGGCTGTTGCCACGTTTGACTGTTGGCTGTGGTTGTAGTCATGGTCAGAGTTGTGGTGGTGGGTGCAAAACTGGTGCACGAAGCGCTCCAATACCACAAGGTGCGGTGGTGGGAGAGACGCGTGGCTGGTGTTGCCACTGATGTCGGCTGTTGACGTGGACGCGGACGCAGTTTCAGATGAGGTGTGGTGCCCGGTGGACGTGGCAGCCTCTCGTGCAGCCAGCAGCGCATCCTGTGCTTCTATGCAAGCCGCCGCGTGTGCCTTGCACCCCACATCAACCACATCTGAGGCCGCTGCTTGTGTCTCGGGCGCTCTGCCCACGAAAGGTGTCCTCTCACTGCACCAGCCGAGACCAGGGGAGCGCGCACTATCGGCTTCATGCCCTTTTCCACTCGTAAGGGTGGCAAGTGGGGCAGTGTTGCTCACAGCGGCAGTGCCTGTGCACGGTGTGCATTTTGCACCCAGCAACAAAACGCCGATCGTGAGCAGGGCGATGGTAGACCAATTCAGCTTCATCAGCAGCATTGTTGCCGCTGTCCCCTGAGCCTGAGCCATGGCAGGCAGGCGATGGCTGCGATTGGGCTGACAAGCGAGGAAAGCGTGGGGCTGTGGGGAGAGAAACCCGTGGTCCAGGTGGTCGTTCAATGAGGCAGGGAAAGGGAAGGAGGGAGGAAGTGGAGGAAGATGACTGCAAGGTGGCAAGCGAGCGAGCGAGCGAGTTGAGGGCGCCGGCTAGGGGGCAGGAAAATTCATGAAAATATGGCTTAATTTTCTGCAGTGGCGTCCGTCAGCACGACTGCTTGTGTTTGGCGAGCACTCGCATCTGACATGGAACTCGTCCTGTGTGTGTGTGTGTGTGTGTTGTGGTTCTGTGGTGTGTTTGTTGTAGCTCTGTGGTGTGCTTGTTTGTTTGTGTTTATTCATCTTTGTAGCAGGCAGGCTAGGCTCCATGCACTGCGGTGCACGACAGAGACCACATGCTTCTGCGCTCACGAAACGTAATGTAAGAACCAAATCCATCCGCACATGCACCAAACAAGCAAGGCACGCAAGCGAGTCAAGTCAGCGAGGCAGCTAGATCTGCTCCGTGATAAACGGGTGACGCAGGGCGTGGCGCACGGAGATGCGCTTGTCCGGGTCCACAATCAGCATCTTGTCAAGCAGGTCCCTGAAGTTGGTAAAGTGCCGCTGCTGGTCGGATGTCAGGCTCTGGTTCTTCAGCAACAGCGCCTTCAGGTCTGTCGTCGGGTTCTGGAACTTGAGCAGCGTCACTTTCTCCTGTGTGTGTGTGTGTGTGTGTGTGTGTGTGTGTGTGTGTGTGTGTGTGTGTGTGTGTGTGTGTGTAGTTGTGAACATGTGGGTCTGTCTTTCGTACGTGTCAGTGCGTATATGTGTGCAAATGCAACGTTCCGAAACAAGTCATCAAGAGTTGGCATAAAGCATGACTGGGACCAACCTGCTGGGTGACCTTGTCTTGTTCAAGGAACTTGAACTCAAAGTCATCTGTAAAATGCTGGTCCTTGAACATGCCCTGGCGAATCATCTTGTTCGCAGGCTTGCCCTTCAGTGCAAAGATCAGCTATGTGCGTGTGCGTGTGTGCGTGTGTGCGTGTGTGTGTGTGTGTGGTGTGTGTGTGTGTGTGTGTGTGTGTGTGTGTGTGTGAACAACAGGGCGAGTCAACAAATCGCCGGCAACAAGGCTTCATGCCAGGGTGATTATTACTTTCAACGCACACGCACACGTACACACGTACACGCACGCACAGAAGCACACAGAAGCACTCAGGCATGTAAACTCAAACACACACACACATACACACGGGCTGTACCTTGAGCATTTCGTTGTTGTCGCGGCCCTTGAAGAGAATGGTGCCGGTCCACAGCTCATACAGCGTGCAGGCGACGCTCCACATGTCAATTGGACACCCGTACTTGCACCCGAGCACTGCAATTCGAGGAAAGGCGACGAATGTGTGTGAGTACCTAGCTTTGGCATGGGCAAAAGAAAAAAAAATCACAAGAAGAGGCGACACACAGTATGCACAACCATGACCCTGAAAACGCACGCACCAAAAGTCCAAACACAACCAACCAAACAAATAAACAAACACAAGCACACAAGCACAGACAAGCACAAGCATACACAGAGTGGTCAAACGCACTAATCTCTGGGGCGCGGTAGAAGCGGGAGACGAGGAGCGGGGTGACCTCGGCCTCGGACGTGTACAGCGCAGAGCCAAAATCGCACAGCTTAATCACATTCTTCGCCTCGTTGGCCAGGATGTTGTCGGGCTTGATGTCTGCGTGGATGACAGCGCACTTGCGGAGGAGGTGCAGTGACAGCAGCAGCTGGTGCGCGTATGCCTGCACGGCCTTGAGGCTGAGGCCTTTGTTCCGCCCGTACCTGCGCTGCACCTCACGCAGGTTCATGCTCATGTGTTCAAAGACCAGACACAGGTGATTCTTGTGGCGGAACGAGCGCAGGAAGCGCACACAGTGGTAGCGGCCACTCGGATCCTTGTCCTGCAGCTTGTGGATGACCTCAAGCTCCTTGATCGCCGCTTTGTACCTGCAAAGAGAGAAAGAACAGGATTGGGCACGATGGGGAAGTGGGACAACACGTGAGATGACAATACGGGAATGATGGGCTGAAGACTTAGGACTGCAAACACGAACAAGCGCAGGACACAGAATGTACACATGACACATACACGCTACGCGCGCGCACATACACATACACGCACGAGCATGTATAAATGCACACAAGCATGCAAACAACTCTTCCTCCCAACACAAACACACACTCACTCACACACACTCTCTCTCTCACACGCACACACACACACACACGAAATCACACACGCACACATGCTACGCACATGATGTCGTTGTTTCTGATAATCTTGATGGCGACGGGCGTGTCGTTCTGCATGATATCACGCGCGCGAACCACATTGGAGAAGACGCCCTTGCCCGTGTACCCGTACACCTTATACCGTGCATCCAGCAGCTCAGAGAACTTGTACCGGTAGTAGCCCTCAGCGTCGTCGTGGTTGTCCGACAGCGCTGCGCTGCCAGAGCTCGTGGTGGCGGCCGTCGTCGTTGCCGCTGCCGTCACGTCAAAGTTCTCGCTGAACATGTCATCCCCCTCCTCATCGCCGCCTTCGCCGCCACCGCCGCCGGCCTCCGTTGTGGCCTTCTTGCCAGCCTGCGCCACCGCATCCTGGCCCGTCTTCCCAGCGGCGCCGTCACCACTGCCATCGCCGCCATCGGCAGCAGCAGCAGCAGCGGGCGCGGAAGCGGAGGATGCCGATGCGGTGCGCTTGAGGGCGCTCTGGTCAATGTGGAAGCGCTCCTTGATCATCTCTTCCTCGGCCTCGCGCATGGCTGCATCAATCTCGGCGTCGTCCTCCCCGCCTTCCACCGCAGCGCCCTCGTCAAACTCCAAATCCTCCTCTGCAAACCGCTCGTCCTCCTCTGCCGGCGGCGACGGCGACCGCCACCCGGGGGTGTCCTGCCCCTGCGGCCGCGGCGTGTGTGACTTTGACCCCGCCCCCGACGACGACGACGGCTGGCTGCTCACCGCCATGTGTTTGGGCAGTGACGACCGCACGGCCTCGCGCAGCGCCGCGTCCTTCACCCCCGCAGACGCTGCCGACGTTGCCGACGTTGCGGATGTGGCGGATGCCGTTGATGCGCGCGACTCGAGCGACTGCCGCCCGTTTGTCGCTGCCCCGCTGCCCGGGGCCGGCGTTGCCGTCGCCGTGGACGCGGCCGTCTCTGGGTGGGAGTCGGCAGGGTCTGCTTTGCTGTACTTCTGCAGGATGGCCTGGCGGCGGCGGCGCATCTCCTCAATCCGCTTCTCCTCGTCCTCTTCCTCCTGCACAAGGTCAATCGCGCCAAGATCCCTGGAGGACAAAAAAAAGGGGGGGGGGGAGCATTCAAAACATGTGTGTATGTGTGAGTATGTGTTGTGTATGTGTGAGTAGCGTAGTGGGCGTGATCAGTGCGGTCCACTGAGATCTCATTGTGCAGCACTGAACCAAACACTCACACACACGCAATGCAACACCTCGCTTCTCTTTTCTTTGCAACACCAGTGACCAAAACCTTCAACACATAAACATGAGCATGCATAGAGAAGGCAAGGTGACTTACTCATCCTCTTCATCGTCATCGTCCTTCCATGCGAGCGGGTGCCCGTTACCTTTCCTCCGCCTCCGCTCATCGTCATCATCACCATCACCGTCATGCCGGCGTCGGCGGCGGCGTCGGTCATCATCTTCCTCCCGCAACCGCGACCGCCCTCGCCTGTCACGGCTGCGCTCTCGTTCGTCGCGGCTGTGCCTGCGCCTGCTGCTGCTGCGCCTGGCGGGCGAGTCGCGGTGGCGGCTGGCGTGGCGCTCGCGCGACCGGCGGCGGTCCTCAACAACATCGTGATCGCGGTGTCGGTGTCGGCGCTCCGTGGGCGACACGTCGCGATGGCGCGATTCGTGGCGGTGCCGGCGGTGATGCCGGGACGAGCCCTCTCGGCTGCGGCTGCGGTGGCGGTGGTGGCGACGCGAGCGCGAACGAGACGGGGAGCGCGAACGGGAGCGGGAGCGATGGCGGTGACCACGGCTGCGCGAACGGTGCCGCCGCCTGCGGTCATCGTCGCCATCGTCGCGATCAAGACGACGGCGGTGGTCGCCATCGCCAATGGTATCATCATCGGCATCACGACGCTCCTCATCGCGACGGCTCCTGCGACCACGGCCGTGCCTGTCGCTGCCACGGTCTCGACTTCTGCTTCTGCTTCTGCTGCTGCGGTGGGCTCTGGCGCCATTGCTGCCGCCTTTCTCGGCGTCCAGCATGTCGCGGAGTTCCCTCCGCTTTCTCTCCAGCTCGTCGAGCTCTCTGTCATCGTAACCGCTGCGCTCGCGGGTGGCGGGCCGCTTCACGGCGTGTTCTGCCTCATCCTCAGAAACGTCATCTCCACGCCTGCCACAATGTGTGTGTGTGTGTGTGTGTGTGTGTGTGTGTGTGTGTGTGTGTGTGTGTGTGTGTGTGTGTGTGTGTGTGTGTGTGTGTGTGTGTGTGTGTGTGTGTGTGTGTGGGCGCCGAGTGGGAATGAAAGGGGCATTACAAGGAGCAGAGCAACGTGTGAGTATGAGTCGGCAGTGTGGGACAATGGCAAAGAGGGCTTGGTGGCAGCCACTCTAATTTGTGCTAATGCTGCTGCTGCTGCTCAAGGAGACAATACAGGCGGCACAAACGTGGCAGGAACACGTTGCATCACCCACCCCAAGCCAGAATAGAATTCACAAACGAAACAGTCACACGCCGCCACGCACACCCGATTCTGGTGATGTCATATGTGACATAGCTGGCATGGCTGAAAGAGGTGACGCGTACAGTCCACACGCGTAACATCCATCCAAACACACAAACAAACAACCCAGCACGACTTCCAGCTTCAAAACAACAACTACCACTTCTACAACTACATCAAGAGGAACGACATCATCAACAGGAACATCGTCATCGTCGTCGTCGTTGTCGTCGTTGTCGTCAACAACTACGTCAACAACAACCCCACAGACAAACATTCAAAAAGAGAGTTGAGAGAGGTCTTCTTACCGTTTGTTGCTGGGCATGGCGGAAGAGTGGCACCAAAGGGCGAAGCGTTGAAGGGGTGGAAACAAAAGCGAGAGCGTGTGGTGGAGTGGTGCGATGCACGCGTTCACAAGGGAGAGAGGGGAGATGAAGAAGAAAAGGGAGGAGGAGGAGGAGGAGGAGGAGGAGGAGGAGGAGGAGATAACTTGTCAATAGATGCGCTTAGCTTTGAACAACCTCGTTGCAAACAATTACAAGCCCAAGCACGAGAACCAGGGAACGAGAGAAGGAGGTGTGTTGTGCGTGCGTGTGTGTGTGCGTGTGCGAAAAGCGGTGGGAAATGCTTGCTGCGCCAACCACACCGAAACTGATGATGAGGGAGTGGAGAGAGCCTTAGCTGTCAGGTTGTAGACACGGGTGCCCGCCTCAACCAAGCTGGTGCAAAAGCGAAGAAGCTGGATGGATGAACACGGATGAGGGTTCACAATGGGGACTTGTTGGTGTGCTAGTGTATTGTTGTTGTAGCTGGTGACTGCTCTGACTGTTGTCTTGATTGTTTGACAAAGCAAGCAAGCCTTCCTTCTGCAAATGACTGCTGCGAGCCCTTCGTCAAAGAACCAAGAGGGTGACGCGAGTGAGCTGCTTGCTGTTACTGGACACAAGCAAGTCACAAGACACACAAACACACAAGACACACAAAACACACAAGACACAAGACACACGGCAAGGCGATAGGACAAGAGAAGAGAAGAGAAGAGAAGAAGAGAAGGAGAGGGGTGAGGAGAGGATGATGGTCGCTTGCCTCCTGAGAACCACAGACCACGCCACACGCCACACAGCAATCAGAGCGAACGTTTCCAGCCAGCAGGCGTTTGTGTGTAGTCGGGGGATGACGAATATTGCGGAAGATTTTCACAGGTAATCCGTAACCCACAAGAGAATGAGCGACGCAAAGAGGAAGGAAGCGGCAGCGGCGGTGGCGGAGAGCACTGCTGGCGGGGACGACGGCGGGGAGAATGCGGCCAAACGCAGCAAGCTCATGGAAGAGTCGGCGTCACAGGCCCCTTCCCCTATATCAGATGCAGCGCCATCGCCGCAAGCTGCGTCGCCATCATCCTTGACAGCATCGTCCACAACACAACTGGCATCAGCCCAGGATGAACGCGCCAGCGATTCTGAGCCCTTGTACAGATTCAGATATGCAGTTGTCTGCAGCAGCAATCAAAATCGCAGCATGGAAGCACATCTCTTTCTCAAGTGCGTCTTGTGTGTGTGCCTGTGCGTCTGTGTGTGTGTGTGTTGTTGTGTGTGTGTGTGTGCTTTTGCTGTTGTCTTCTTGTGTGTGTGTGTGTGTGTGTGTGTGTGTGTTTGTGTGACCTCGTTGCGTACAGTTGTTTTGTGCAGTGCAGCTTACACTTTCCTCCAACCTCCAACCCCCCCCCTCGTTTGCTCGTGCATGCTGCAGGCAGCGAGGATTTAACGTGGAGTCATATGGCACGGGGAGCTGTGTGAAGATTCCTGGCCCCTCGATTGACCGCCCAAACGTCTTTGAGTTTGATTCTATCTCCTACGATGAGATGTACAAACAACTGGAGGCCCAAAACAAAGCCCTGTAAGTCGTCACCCTTGGAAGCTCAGAACAGTTGGTTGTCGATCTCTGTGTGTGTGTGTCTGTGTGTGTGTCTGTGTGTGTGTGTGTGTGTGTCTGTGTGTGTGTCTGTGTCTGTGCCTGTGTGTGTGTGTCTGTCTGTCTGTGTATGTGTGTGTCTGTCTGAATGTATGTGTGTTTATGATTGCGTCCAAGGTTTGAGCGGGACTTCTTTGGCGCGTGCATGAACACCGTCAGAGTTATGTTGCTATCTGCTAACTGGGTGTTGTTGACACCGCAACACACTACTGCTGCAACCAACTTCACCGTGCACTCACCAGCCTCTCATCATTTGTGTGATCAGGTACCAGCAAACGGGGATGTTGGCCATGCTTGACCGTAACCGCAAGATCAAGCGCAACCCAGAAAAGTTCCAGCGGGCAACAGACAAGCGCTTTGATATCATCTTAACCTGCGAGACGCGCATCTTCGATGAAGTCGTCAGAGGTGTGTGTGTGTGTGTGTGTGTGTGTGTGTGTGTGTGTCTGTCTGTCTGTCTGTCTGTCTGTCTGTCTGTCTGTCTGTTTGTGTGCGCGTGTGTGTGTGTGTGTGTGTGTGCGTGTGTGCGCGTGTGTGTGTGTGTTGTCTGTCTGTGTGTGTCTGTGTCCATGTTGCAGCACCGCTGCTCACTCAATCCTCCTCCTTGCCGCTTGGTTGTGTCATTGCCTCCACTGACGCCACTGGATACTGCAGACTTGCAACAACGGGACAACACGACGGGCGAGCTTGTTCACATCTGTAACTTGGACATCAAGGACACACACGAGTGCGCCACGCAGGGCGCCCTCAACTTTGTACACCTCGCACAACTGGTGAGACAAACGCTGTGTACATGTGTGTGTGGGGAGGGGGGGTGAGTGGGTGTGTCTGTGTGTGCCTGTATCTGTGTGTGCCTGTGTGCCTGTGTGCATATGTGTTCGTGTGCAAGTGTGTGCAACACCCTATATCCCACTCAACTCACCTCATCACCTCCTCACTCCCCCCACCCCCGCCAGATGGAGGCGACGGACGATCTGGACGAGGAGGTGGAGGCGGTCATTGCGCGGTTTGAGGACGACACAGGGGAGGAGCTCATGCACAGCGTTGCTTTCTATTAAATGACATGACATCCAATCCTGTTGTGTGTGGGTGTGTGGGTGTGTGGGTGTGGGTGTGGGTGTGGGTGTGTGTGTGTGTGTGTGGGTGTGTGTGTGTGTGTGTGTGTGTGTGTGTGTGTGTGTGTGTGTCACGAGTGGCGAGGTTGCAATGCAAGTGCCATCAACGAACCACTTCCACCATCCAACACAAACAACAAAGCTGCTTTTCTTGTTGTTGTTGAACAAAGAGCCAACGGTGATGAGCGAAGTGTTGAGAGTGGTGGATCGTGAATGGCACCAGAGCCAGGAGGCGAGCCGGCTCTTGGCCTCAATCGAGCAGCAGGTGCAAGGCGGAGGTGAGCATGAAGACCAGGATGAACTCACCCCCTGTATGCTCTTGTTGCCTTGCACGTCTTCCTTGCCGCCGACACTCAAGCTCTGTGTGTGTGTGTGTGTGTGTGTGTGTGTGTGTGTGTGTGTGTGTGTCTGTGTGTCTGTGTGTCTGTGTGTCTGTGTGTCTGTGTGTCTGTGTGTCTGTGTGTCTGTGTGTCTGTGTGTCTGTGTGTCTCTCTGTCTCTCTGTCTCTCTGTCTGTGTGTGTGTGTGTTGGTGCTAGGTTTGCTGCTGGAAGGCAACTTTCCCCAGTTCGACTTGTTTGGAGTCAAGGTGCTGCTCCAAGGCGGTAGCAGCAGTGGCAAGAGCACGCTGTTCAACATCCTCGCTGCTCCAGGTGTGCCCAGATCACCGCTTGTGCGTTGTTAAGCTGATGATGATGATGATGATGATGATGATGATGATGATGATGGTGATGATGATGATGATGATGATGATGATGATGGTGGTGGTGGTGGTGGTGGTGATGGACCTGATGGACATCATGCACGAATCATGACAAGGACGGGGTTGCTCGTGGCAGTGTTACGTGCAGTGTCTCAGACTTCCAGTCCGCGCACTGATCTACATGTGCGTGCGAACTTGGTGTTGTTGCATGCATAGATACGGAGCGTAGCGTGGCGGCAGCAGAGACCAAGGGGATGCAGATGGCACGCATCACGTGGGCAGCAAAGGTGCGCGAATCATCGCGATGGCGAGTGTGCAATGAGGAGAGACGCGAGCAAGGCATTGCATGCTCGTGTGTACGCACAGCTCCCTTCGTTCCTGCCATGGTTCTCACTCGCAGCCTCCCCTGCGTGGCCATGTGTGCGAGCAGCTGACGAACACGGGAGACGTTGCGCTCTTTTCCATTGGCGTTTGGGACGCTGGTCACCGAACATGGCACGAGTCAGTGCTGCTGTTGCCCCTGTGTGTGTGTGTGTGTGTGTGTGTGTGTGTATGTGTGTCTGTGTGTCTGTGCATGTGCGCGTGTGTCTGTCTGTGTGTGCGTCCGTGTGTGTGCGTATGTGTGTCTGTGTGTCTGTGCATGTGCGCGTGTGTCTGTCTGTGTGTGCGTGCGTGTGTGTGCGTCCGTGTGAGCGGAACATGCACTCTCCTCCCGCTACCATCATGTCGCATGTTCATACGTCAGCGCGCTCGCTCCTTTCAGGTACGACCACATCAAGGAGGAATGCGAACGCGACACGGCGGTGCGTGCCATTGTTTTCAGCCTGAAGGACAAGGCATCTTGGGCGACTGCAAAGCAGATGGCCGACGCCCTTCCTGCAGACGCGCGATTCTTCTTCGTCGGCACAAGGTGCGTGATCTGTCTGTCTGTCTGTCTGTCTGTCTGTCTGTCTGTCTGTCTGTCTGTCTGTCTGTCTGTCTTTCTGTCTGTCTGTGTGTCTGTCTGTCTGTCTGTCTGCCCTCATACATCTCTCAGTATCCCTCTAGATACGTCTCGGCGTCTCTGTGACTGACCATCGCCCACCTCCCGCCAACACCTTTGCTGCTGTGCATCTGCTCCCCAATGTCCACTGCAGTTACGATCTGGCCCCGGAGCACCTGGAAGTAGCTGTTGACGAAGTACAGCAGTGGAGCGATGCCATGGGTGTGGCATTCTGTCTCACTCCTGCAGGACAGGTGCGTGTGTGTTGTGTTGTGTGTGTGTGTGTGTGTGTGTGTGTGTGTGTGTGTGTGTGTGTGTGTGTGTGTGTGTGTGTGTGCGTGTGTGTGCGTGTGTGTGCGTGCGTGCACGCACTTATGTGTTACCAGTGTGGTGCACATGTTCGGTGTCAGCATCTTCCCCCTTCCCTCTTCCATCCATCTCTGGCCCCTTTTGTGGCACTTTCGTCTCACCCATTCAGACACGCACACACGCACACACTCTCTCTGTCATTTTGTTCCCCGCATTGCTGCTCGCCCTTCACAGAGATCAGAACACATCAGAATACGCCGGCGCTTCCTCAACCTCGTCTGCGATACGGCACTCCGCTCAGAATAACTCCAGACACACACACACACACACACACACACACACACACACACACACACACACACACACAAACACGAGTGCACACGTTACACATTTGCCTCCTTTACACTGTGAACCCACGGTCACACGACTGCGTTGCGTCGTCCTTGTTGTGCCACGACATGTGATGTGACCTCCCTATTGCGCTGTTACCCTGACAGAGCAAGCAAGCGATTGCCTGCTCACATGTTGCGTTGTTGTCGACACTATGTGTGCAGCCGGTCTGCCACGATCCCGCCCATGCATGTGTGTCTGTCTGTCTGTCTATCTGTGCGTGTCTGTGTCTGTGCCTGTGAGTTTACGTGTTGTCTCTGGGCCTCTTCTTACTCACCTGGTTGCTCATCGCGGTGTTTCACTGTTGTTGCTTTGTGATAACTCGTGCTTGTGAAGGTTGGTTTATGGTTCACACAACACGCCAAGCAAGCAATGAAACCGAAGGCGAGCAAACAAGCGTGCAGTGGTGGGACAGACAAAGACGAGAACGAGCACACGGAGCACAGGACACGGTGAACTGCGGACAGGCGAGCAACACGCACAAGCACAGACATACACCGCTGGGGCAAGAGACAAAACACAGATGGGGAAAATGTAAGATCACGACCGTTTTCCACACAAAGCGCACAAACACACACACACACACACACACACAGAGCACACACACACACACACACACACACACACACACACACACACACACACACACACACACACACACACACACACACAAACACACACACACAGGCACACACACACACAGGCACACACATAGACGACAAGGCTATGTCTTCCACGCAATGAGAAGAAACAAGATCAGAAGAAACGAGCGTCGTGGTGTTGGGGGGGGTGGCCGTGAGACGAATGAAGGGGCAACGCAATGGTGAAATGAGGACAAGGAGGAGGCGGCAAGGCCCACGCAAAGAAGAGGAAAGCAAATGACGCACAGTCACATGTGGACTGAAAGAGAACGCAGAAGAGAAGGAGAGAAAGGCAGCGGAGGGGAGCGATGAACAAGATGTCATGAACGGGCTGTGAAGGCGGGGACAACTGAGAAGCAAGAGAACGTGGAACAAGGAGAACAGGCAACAGGTGCTGGCTTAGGAATCAACGTCTGGGAAATCATCGGTGTAGTAACCCTTGTTCTCGCACAGCTCCTGCGCAGACATGACAATAAAACAAGACACGACGGGGACATGTGAGGAAAGAAGCGAGCGCTTTCATGCGATAGAGAGAGGGAGAGAGAGAGATGTTAAGCACCGCAGCAAGAACAAGGTGGTGTCACGAGCACAAACGCATACACAAAGGCACCAACACAGACACACACAGACACATACACACACAGAGAGAGAGAGAGAGACACACACACACAAAGACACCCGGCGCACCTTGTAGAGCTCTGCAAAGTTGGGGCGGCCCTCAACGTCCTTGTGCCAGCACTGGGTCATGATGGAGTAGATGTGGTCCGGGCACTTGGCGGGCGACTTGAGCCGCTTGCCCTCGTTTAGGAACGTCACAACTTGCGCGTTGCTGTGCATTTGGGCACGGAAAAGTCGTGTGTGTGTGTGTGGTGGGAGGGGGAACGGTGAGAAAACAAAAAAGGAAAGACGTGCACATGAAGCAACAACGCAGCCATCACGATGCACGCACAACAAAGCGGTCGCATACGTTCACCACAAGGGCATGTGCAGCACGCTCAGTACATGCATTGGCTGACTCACGAAAGGTCGGGGTACGGGTGCACGCCACCAGACCAAATCTCCCACAGAAGAATGCCAAACGACCTGCAAAGCAGGGGTGGCGAGACAGAAGTGATGGAGGAGAGTGGAACAGAGAAAGGTATGATACGTGTGTGTTGGGGGGGGGTGAGCAAAGCGAGAAATGGAAGTTCAGGGATGGAGGGAAGACCAACCAATGAAGCGTGACGGTACATATCAAACGCAACATCAGCAATGGCCACAATTCAGACCACACACACACACACACACACACACACACACAAACAAACAAACAAACAAACAAACAAACAAACAAACAAACAAACAAACAAACAAACAAACAAACAAACAAACAAACAAACAAACAAACAAACACGCATGTGGTCAACGCACCAGACATCTGATTTTGAGGAGAAGCGGGCAAACTCAAAGACCTCCGGGGCAGCCCACTTGATGGGGAACTTTGTGCCCTCCGACGCCGTGTACTCGTCATCTGTCGTGTAGCGCGCAAGCCCAAAGTCGGCAACCTTCACAAGGTAGTTCTGCCCAACAAGGCAGTTGCGTGCAGCCTGACAGGAAGCAGTGGAGATACAATGCCCCCAACTGTGAGAACATGACAAACGCCATGGCAGTGGAGTCATCAACGGGCACCGTGCACCGTTCACACACACGCACACACACGAACACACACATACACACACGAACACACACGAACACGTATACACACACACACCAGGTCACGGTGGATGAAGCCGTGGGATTCGAGGAAAGCCATTGCGCACGCACACTGCAAGCAGCAAACACAGAAGCATGAATGTATGGTAGGAACAGCATTTGCATCAGTGGAACAACTGGGAGCACACAGGCAGACAGCAACCTTCACCACCGCCACCACCACCATCATCATCATCAGCATCATCATCACGAGCATAGAGTAGGGATGGGAACAAAAGGCAGAACAGGCCATATACACACCTGGATACTCATGTAGAGGAGTGTGCTGGGCTTCTCCACCAAGGTCGGGTTCTCACGCAGGTAGTTGAGGAGACACCCTACACACGCGCGCAGCGATCATGGCAGGGCGAAAGCGAGCGAGTGAGTGAGCGTGGGCAGTGCCGAAACAAGTGCAACATACGCATACATATGGGAAGAGGGGATAAGGGTACGCAAGCGCAAAACACACTGCAGTTTGGCAGCAAGTTTTCCAAAAACCCCACCAGCATTGTTGTCATCAGCACCCTATCACCCCCATCGTCACCGTACCGTTCTCCATGAATTCTGTGACAATCATGACGCGGTCATCGCCAACAACGATGCCGAGCAGCTCAACAAGATTGCGGTGCTTGAAGTGCCTGGAGGAGGAGACGAGGGAAGATGGGTGAGCATAAATGTTCAACGTGGTGAGGTGTGGTGTAATTCACAGCAGGTAGCTGCGTATGTGTGTGTGAAAAAATGGAGAACATGCTTGCATATGCGCGCTATATGGGTGAAGAACGCACTTCATGACTTCAGCCTCGGCAACAAACTCCTCCTCGTTCATGGAGCCTTGCTTCATTGTCTTGATCGCAACCGTGTGCTGGCCCTAAACATGTTGCAGAGAAGCGTCAGAAGCTGTCGTGAGTTGTGGTTGGGAACCAGGCTTGGGAACGCGACGAGCGCACATACAGTGAACACACACAAAAGAGAACACACACACACACAAAAAAAAAAAAAAAAAAACACACGCAAATGCACTACATGCGCATGCACATACACACATCACACATGCGCACACCACACATGCACTCACAAATACCCAAACCCATGCACACATGCACACTAAACGTGCATATACACGTGTCCACGTTCCCCCCGCCCCCGTCCCCCTCGCGCCCAAGTGGCTAGACCTTGTAGACGCCCTTGTAGACGACGCCAAACTGGCCTGCGCCGAGCTGCTGCCCAAAGCTGAGGTCGGCCAGCGCAATCTGCCACTTGTCAGACCCGAGGCCAGGCGCACTCGGCTGCTCCTCCTCAAGCAGCGGGAACTTCAACCGCGTCGCAAGCCCTGCACGTGGGAGACAGGATTGGCGTGTGTGTGGTCGTGTGTGTGTGTGTGTGTGTGTGTGTGTGTGTGGTCGTGTGTGTGGTCGTGTGTGTGGTCGTGTGTGTGTGGTCGTGTGGTCGTGTGTGTGTGTGTGTGTGTGTGTGTGTGTGTGTGTGTGTGTGTGTGTGTGTGTGTGTGTGTGTGTGTGTGTGTGGTCGTGTGAGGCGTGGTGGGTTTGGAGCGTGTGGGTATTCAACGTGGCTGTTGCAATGCAGACAGCACATGCAGTCTGGAGACATGGGTTGTTGTCAACAAAATCCGGGCGTACACGCACCTCCGCTGTTGTGCTTGTGGTATGTGATGAGCTCGTTGATGGACTTGAACTGGTGGCGTTCTGTGATGTAGTACAGGCCCTCCGACGTCGTCTTAATGTGGTAGTGGCGGCAGCTTCCTTTGTACCTGCGGTTGGAGGCAGCGCGATGGGCAGAGTGCCGGTGATAGTGAGGAAAGGGACGGTCGCAAGGAGGTTAGTGGTGCACAGGAACGAATGCACCCAAAGAAACGAATGTATCTACAGGAACAAATGCATCTACACCATTCACGCACACACACAAACGCACACACAAATACACAAATGTCCACGCACACATGGCTGCACATTGGGCGTACAAGAGTGTGAGGGAGTATGTGCCTGGACGAGTTTCGCTCTCGCGAACAAGGAAGTAGCCGTCCTTTTCCTTAATGCGCAGGCGGGCACCGGCCTCTGTGCGGCTGATGCGCCCAAGGAACCACCTGCACACGCACAAACGGTGCGGTGAACAGTGGTGAGCTTGATGAATGCAGTGGTGGGTATGATTAATGCAGTGGTGGGCGTGATGAACTCACATGTTGGGGGAGTACGGACACACACGCGCACGCGCACGCGCACGCACTCACACACAAGACACGCACGAGCCAGCAACAACACAACAGAGCCATGGGCTTGTGTTCACGGTGCTGTGTTGATAATACGTACGGTTCTGATTCGATGCCTGGTTTGCGCACGTAGTTGGCAGGGATCATGCCCGCCTCGCCCTTGCTGTTACGCGCGCGCCACCAGTGCTCCTGTTGTGGTTCGTTGTTGTTGGGGGAGGTGTTGGTCGCGGGACGTGGTGAGCAGAAGAAAACACAAACGCCTGTGGTGACAATCGCACGCGCGCACAAAATCAAACACCGCAAGCACTCATGCTGCGCGTGCATTTATGCATACACAGAGATCCACACACACATGCACACACACGCACGCACACACGCACGCACGCACACACACACACGCACACACGCACACACGCGCACACGCGCACACGCACACGCACGCACCTGTGACGCGTCGAGGACTTCCAGCTCCTCGCCGGGGGAGAGACTCAAGTCTGTGGGCTCCAGCGCGTGGAAGGGGAACATGGCAACAACTTTGAACTGGCACGGGGTGAGTGAGTCTTGTGCGACGGCAGGAATCGCAGGCGCAGCCGGCTGTTGCTGTAGCTGTTGCTGTTGTGTTGCGGCTGTTACAGCGGTCTGCTGCTGCTGCTGCTGCTGCTGCTGTGTACCGTTTGTTGCAGTGACCTCAAACACGCTATGGTTGAAAAATGTCAAACAAGTCACAGGTACGTAGCCATCCAAGCGCCACCACACAGGTATGTGTGAGTCTGTGGGGGTCCTTGGAAGAACGCATGCTTAGACACAAAACCACAACCACACACGCACACACGCACACACGCACACATTCTCTCTTTGTCTATCTCACGCACGCACCGCGCACACACACACGCACACATGCACACACACACACACGCACACACACGCGCGCGCACACAAACACACAAACACAAACACGCACACACACACACACACACCCTTTCCGTTTGCCATCGCAGCCGCATGGGCAAGCACGCACCCGTAGTCGAAGCAAGGGCCGCAGCCTTCGCAATCCTTTGCACCGCCGCAGCAAGTCCACTTGCCGCTGGTGACGACGCCCTTGTGGAACTTGCTGAGGAGATGCGGGTTCTTGCTCGCGCGGCGCCGGAGCCCCTCCAGCCAGCGGCGTTGGTCGAGGATGCTTTGGCACTGGCAGTAGAGAGTGTGGTCATCACGGATGAGCTGGAACATGTACGGTCGGCTGAAGGCCTCGGGCATGACCTCCTCCACGCCGCGAACAGAGGCGAGATCGATGGTTCCCTTCAACTTGTCCTTGGACGGCCTGTTGTTGTTTGTTGCAAGCAAGTCAAAAGAGACAGAAGGCAAGGGAACAAGAGATGGAGTCAGTGCAAGGGAAGGAGCAAGGACATGGTGCTATGCTGTGACTCATTTGGGTGGAAAGAGAGGATAACGATGACGATGCGACAAAACGGCACAGCGACAACCAAGAAGGGTGCAGCCACAGCCACAGCCACAGCGACACCACACGCACGCACGCACACACGCGCGCGCACACACACGCACACGCACACTTGGCAGCAGCCAATGTGAAGGTGCACGCATATGCTCATGTGCGTGGGTGCACGTGTGTGTCACATATGCAGGATACACTTGGAGAGGGTGTGTCAGACAAAATGAGAGAGGCACGTACGAGGTGTAGTAGTAGAGAGTGGATTCCGTCATGACAAAGTAGCGGTCTGTCCATTTCTTTGGTCCAATTGCCTTCTTGCCAAGAGACCGCTTGAGCATCATGCCATCAAGCAGCACGGTGCTGTCGTCCGCCATGGTCGATGGTTGACTCGTGTGTGGATGCGTGCGTGTGTGTGGATGTGGGTGTGGATGTGGATGTGGATAAATGTTTTTGGGAGTGGCGGCAGCACCGCAAGCAAGCGCTGTGTATGTGTGTGTGTGCGTTTGCGTTGTTGGGAACGTTGGATCTTCCAGTGTACCCGCAGTCAACAGGAGCAAAGGTGTCCGTTGCAGGTTGGAGGAAGGTGTTGGTGTCCACACTCACTCACGCCCACACACACGTCCCGTTCAATGCTGGAAGCTGCAGAGTCAGCGAGCAAGTGAGGCGGCGGCAGCAGCGGCAAAGCACACAGTCTCCTTGTTTTGTTTGTGCTGTTTGTTTCGTTGCTCTCGTTCTCTTTTGGAAGGGCTGAGCTGTTGTGGGGGTGCGCATTTATTGGGTTCGTCCATTACAATATACGTTTCGCACATAAATCTTTGGCGGTGGATAGCAGTGTTTTCAGCGGAAGCTGTGGCGCGCTGCAAGCCGCAGCGCGCTCGCCTGCAAACACAAACACAAAGCAAGCAAACCAAGCAAGAAAGGAATAAGTCGTCATGAAAGGCGGACACGATGCGACAGTGAGCACATGTTGATGGTGATGAGAGTGGTGTGTTTGGTGTTGTTTGGTGTTGTTTGGTGGTGCAAGTGGTGGCTGACGGACACGGGGTGTGGTGTAATGGCTGATCTCTCCCTCCCACGCCCAGCAGGAAAGGATCGCGCCACGACAACAACAACACACCACCACTCACTCACAACACCGCACAAGAACCAACACAAGAAAACACTCAACATCACACTCAAACAAGATCACTCACCACACCACAACATGACACAACAACACACAACATCACACAGCATCACAGGGCCACACTCGCAACGTCCACACCATCACAGGGCCAAAGAGCTGACGGCAGACAGCACAACGCACCTTCCGCCATCGTAGCGGCTTGGAGTCAAAGTTGACGCGTGCGCGCGTGGGCTCAATGCGGTGCACGGTGCCCGGCCAAAGGAGATGTTCGTTATCGTCCACGACACTGACAACGCGCAGCCCAAGCGTGAGCTCCGAATGCGACACCGTCGTGTCTGGAAGCAAGGCCTCTGCAGCCACGCTGCTCTCCTCCTTCGAGTGCAATGACCGCACTTCAAACTCCCCTGGCAAAACGGCGGCACAGCAACCCAAACGTGAGATGACCAGTTCACATGTGTGTGCGTGTGTGCGTGTGTGCGTGCGTGCGTGTGTGTGTGTGTGTGTGTGTGTGTGTGTGTGTGTGTGTGTGTGTGTGTGTGTGTGTGTGTGTGTGTGTGTGTGTGTGTGGCTGTGTGGCTGTGTGGCTGTGCGTGTCTGTGTGTGTGTGTGGCTGTGTGTGTGTGTATCTGTCTGTATCTGTCTGTGTGTGTCTGTGTGGCTGTGTGGCTGTGTGGCTGTGCGTGTCTGTGTGGACAAAGCCCCCTCTGCGACAGTGCAATGGGCAGACATGCCTACGCTTGCCACTCAAACACCCAAGAACATGTAAGCACATGCAGGCACACACGTGCATGCACACACACGACCGCGCCACCAACCGTCTGTCTTGCTTGTGCTCTTGATGATGCCACGCTCGTAGAACACGCAGCCGTCGCCCTGCGTGCGCCGTTGCAGCACCGTCTGCCCCTTAGTAAACGTCATGGGACTGGGCCTGCACATCGTCACAGCAACAGCAGCGGTGATGAGGGTGAGTATGCATGATAGTTTGGTGTGCACATGGCAGTTTGTCGGGGGCTGTGTGGAAGCTGTCGTGTTCACTGCGCGACCACGACCTCTGCCACACACCTTTGACCTTTGCATCACGCAGCGTACTCACCAACGCGCACGCCCACGGGCACGCGAATACGCGAACACACACACACACACACACACACACACACACACATACACACACACACACAAGCACACACACACGCACGCACGCACGCACGCACGCACACAAGCACTCACACACACACAAGCACACACACACACAGCCCCGCTCGCACGCAAGCTTCAATCCACACACACTCTCTCCCTCTCACTCGAAGACGATTAGGGTGACGCACTGTGGGCTGTCGAGGTCGGATCCCGTGTCGCTAGCAGCGTCATCGTGGCCGCGGCGCGTGAGAATGGACAAGTCCTTGACGTGAACAATCTGCAGAGGCACCGTGTGATGCACGTGCATCACTGCCACCCGTGCCCCTTCGTCGTGCGCGTGCTTGACAAACGAGCACGCGTGGCCACGCAACTGCTTCTCCTTGCACCTGCCGTTGTGGATGGTTTGATGGAACCCATGCTGTGAGTACTTGCACGATGAAAGCTCCGCTGGCATTGCACACCAGGCTTGCCGCCACCACTAAGCACACACACACGCGCGCACACACACACACAGTAAGGTTATGCGCTGCCTGCATCATGGCTGCCCAGCCCACCTTTCATTAAACACAAACACGTCCCCTGGGTGCATCTCTTGCTCCACAACAGGGCCTTGCCCTGCTGATGCCTGTGTGTGTGTGTGTGTGTGTGTGTGTGTGTGTGTGTGTGTGTGTGTGTGTGTGTGTGTGTGGTGGCAGCGGTCAGCAAGGGCAGAAGGTGCATGTGCAGCAGCACCACCACAAAACGGAGATGGGATGACAACGAAACACGCACTTGGCCTGGTGTTGATGTCACAGTCAGTGTAGTGGTGGCATCCGCGATTGGCCTGGTGGTAGCAAAAACGAGTCATGATGGTATATGCCAGAATGAGAGGCAACACGCGATGCTGAAAAGCAAGGCAGGTGCGTGAGCACTGCATGACTGGAGCGTGGCTCGGTGCGTGGGTGGCTCACCGTCTCTTGGCAGTGGTGGAGCTCTTGTAGTCGCCGCCGTGCCACTTGAGATGCGCAGAGCGGGATTTGATGCGACGGAACGTCTTCCCACACAAAGCCAACGTGATGATAGCTGAGTGAAACGAAATCCGAGGCAGCCAAGTGTACCACGCCAGCAAGCCAACAAGTCATCACTCCGATCCACACACACACACACACACACACACACACACACACACACACACACACACACACACACACACACACACTTGCACGCACGCGCACTTGGCACTTTTGGGCTTACCTTGTGGCAGTTGGGCCATGGGCAGTGGAACAGGGATTGCTCCTGCTCCTCTTCGCCAGATGATGAAGACGAGGGGGATGCAGGTGCCTTGACAGCCTTTTCCTTGCCACCAGACGCTGCGCGCTTTGGTTTTGCCTTCGCGCTCTTGCTGCTCTTCTTCTTCTTCAGTGGCAGCCCCGCCACCCTACTGCTGCTGCTGCTGCTATGAGTCTTTGTATCAAGGGATGCGATCTTCGCTGTGCGTGGCGGCCTTGTGTCGGTGGCGTTGCTCTCTGTGCTGTTGGTGCGCTTGCGGGGTGGATCAGCAAACACGGGAACGCGATGAGTGCCAGTGGCTGCTGCTGCCGCTGCTGCCGCTGTCCCTGCATGTGCTGCTGTTGTTATTGCGGTTGCTGTGCTGTCCTCGTGCGGGTCAAGGGACTGTGTCTTTGACAGAGGTGTAGATTGCTTAGTGGTCGTCATTATCGCTGGTGTTGGTTGTGTTGACTCCATGTTGCGGGTGGCAGCTTTTGGCTTTCGCCCTCGCGAGGTTCGTGTGGTGCGTTTGGCCGGCCTGGGTGGGGCTCCTCCCGTGCGCCGCCTTGCCCGCGTGAGAGGACCTGTCCCAACAACAACGCGTCGAGATTACACAAACGCACGCACGCGAGCACACCAACATGTGTGTGTATTATGTGTTGTGTGTGTGTGTGTGTTGTGTGTGAATGTGTGTGAATGTGTGCGTGTGCGTGTGCGTGTGTGTGTGTGCGTGTGCGTGTGTGCTCCGAACTATCTCTCTCTCTCTCTCTCTCTCTCTCTCTCTCTCTCTCTCTCTCTCTCTCTCTCTCTCTCTCTCTCTCTCTCTCTCTCTCTCTCTCTCTGTGTGTGTGTCTGTCTGCGTGTGTGTGTATCGTCGACACATCTTTGAAGTGGCGCCAAACGCACCAGGGTTGAAGAACAACGGAGAGGTCTCCGGCATATGCGCCTGAATTCGAAGACTGATTCTCGCGAGGGTCTGCTCGTGCATGGTGTTGATATCCCTGGGCGCCAGACGAGGGCGCTCCCGTTTTGCCTGCCAGTCGAAGACAAAGGACATTGCATTGCCAACAGCGACAGCGGTGTGAGCGATGTTGAGAAGAAGATTCAGGGAACACAATGTTATTGGATCAGACATGCAAGCACACATGCACACCACAAACACACGCATGCACACACCACGACAATGCACCTTCTTGGCTGGGTGAGTGCTGATGGCGGACGATCCGGCCTCGCTGTGCGACGTGGCTCTCTTGGCGTTCATTGCTGCCCTGTACTGCTGCCGAAGCACGTTCATGCGATGGTTGAGGGCTTCCAACCGCTCCTTTGTCGACAAGCCCGTGTCCGAGAGGATGGCCATGGTTGCGGCAGGAATCGCTTGGTGTTGATCCACGGCTTCCTCCTTTGCGGGTTCGTTGCACGATGTCGCAACTGATGGCTTGGTTGTTGTCGACAGCGCTGTTGTTGTTGCTGCTGTTGGTGGGGTTGTTGTTGAGCGTGTGCTGGGAGCGGCAGGGGTTGGGACAGCCCGTGGCAGGGCTTTCGCCGCTGTCGATGGAAGTGTCATCGTGAGTCCTCCTGGCTTGGGTGTCCTTGTTGCGGGTGCCCGCTGCCTGGGAGGAAGTGAGGTTCTACTGGCGCTGGTGCTGGTGCTGGTGTTGTGCTGTGTGTCGGGTACAGTGTGTGCTTTTGCACTGCCAAAGTCAGGTGAGCTGCGGTGCCGGGAAATGGAGCATGGGGTGGAATTGGATGCAGCTGGACCAATGTACGGAGTGCTCTCTTCTACAACCGGCCGTGAGGACATCGCTGGCTGGCTTGCGCCTTGTTTGCTGGAATGCAATGGCAGAAGGTCAGGGGCGTGGCAGTGCCATCTCTGCTCCGCATACCGTTACTTCCGCATTCTTCTCTCGCTTCTTGTTCATCTTCGTGCCAGGAGGGCATACACACTAGGGCATTCCTGAAAATTGCACCATATCTTCAGCAAATCGCCAACACTGCTCTGTTTGTGTTTGCTGACGGAGCTCGCCTTGTTCTGTTTTGTGTTTGTGTGTTTGTGTGTGGTGTTGCTTTGCTTGGTTGGAGCAGCATGCGGGTGTTGTGGTGCTGGGGCGGTGGTTCCAGTGGTCCTTCTTCCACTGATGAGTATCAACTCCTCTTTGCGAGGTGAGATTGTGTTCTTATGTCTGTGTGTATGTCTGTGTGTATGTGTTTGTGTGCGTGTGCTGTGAGTGTATGTGTGTGTATGTGTGTATGTCTGTATGTGCGTGCGTGTGTGTGTGTGTGTGTGTGTGTGTGTGTACGAGGCCTGCTTGTCGATCTCTCTATCGTTCTTCTTCCTGTGTTGAAGTTATTGTGCGATAAACACAGTGATGCTGTCCTCATCGCACCCCCTTTGCCTGTCGCACACCCCTCCTCACTTTACCAACAGGCGATGGCCAGCTGTGGAGCGACGTGCACGAGTCGTGCATGGCAAACACTACACAGCGCCACCGGATGCAGACACTGTGCTCTCCACGTTTACGTCGGCTTCATGCACGAGCGGCTCAGAGCACGTGACAAACGTGGATGAGCTGGACAGCGCAGATCCAGCACAGATTGAGCTGCTCCAGCTGACAGAGCCGCCCCTGTTTGTCGTTGATGGCTGCTGGCCTCTCGTCGTCTTGCAACGCGACAACTATGTTGCCGGCTGCCTGCCATTTGTCGAAACACCGCCCACACCAACCGACAAGTCGACAGCCCTCTTGCAATCGTAAGCCATGCGCGAATGTGTGTGTGTGTGTGTGTGTGCGTCGTATCGTTGGTGGAAGCACACGCGCCAGAGACATGTACACACGATGCGCACGCCTATACACATCTGTACACATCTGCACACATCTGCACACACACACACACAACCCCCAAATAACTGATGAACCACCCACCCTATGTTTAGACCGGATGTGTCATCGAGCCTTTCATTTCTGGAAGAGCTGCTCACGTTGCTATCTCGCTTGGAGGGCCAGTCTGTAAGTTTCTGGTCGCTCGTCTGCTGTGACTGAACCACCGCACAACGCAGACACGGCGATGTGTCTTCGATGCGCACATGCTCGTTCACCGTGTGTGTGTGTGCACCATGCGTTGTCATATTCGATTGGCTTGCCAGGCGGCTGTTGTGCAGAGCGAGTTGAGCATGTTCAGCTCCTTGGCGTGCCCAACCGGCGTGTATGATGGCCTCTCATATCCACACGTCACCACCCTCCTGACAAAAGGCACTGACACATCGCCTGTGGTGGTGCGTTTCGCTTCTTGTTGCTCGCTCTTATCCGGCCGCTTATTTGTTTGCTGGTTGGTTGGTTGGTTGGTTGGTTGGTTGTAGGCTTGCTTGTGTGCGCGTATGGCAACACGCTTTTGCTTGTGGCATGTGATCTCACCCACATGTGTATGCGCGTGCATGCTTGAAGATGCCTGCCTGGCGAGTTGGTTCACACGCGGAGGCGCGACCGAGTCTGGAGTTCTTCATCACAGAGACTGTCACCGCATCACAACAGCACCCTGTGGTTGGTGGCGTCATCACGCGTGTATGACGCATTCAAGCGCGAGTGTGTATGTGTTTGTATGTGTTTGTAGGTGTGCAGATGTGTGAGGACACGTATTAAGACACGTGTGAGGAAACGGTGGATTCACAAACACATACGCACACACGCATACGCACACGCACACACACACACACATTGCATGTCCGTTCCCTCATGATGTTATGTGTGTATTGTGTGTGCGTTCAGGACTACTATGAGTCCATGGTTGTGAGTGGCGTGGTGTCGTGCCGAGCAGCGCTTGCAGGCAAACCAGAAATCACGGCCACCATTTCATCTGGGACCGACCTCACCCGGTGTCACGTGCATCACTGCGTCCAGGTCAGTGTGTGTGTGTGTGTGTTTTTATTTGTGCGGCGTGTGTGTGTCGTGTCGTGTGTTTGAGGGCAGGTGCATGTGCTCATGCTTGCTGCTTAGCTGCTCCTGAACCCCTGAACTCCTGTCTCGTCCAATCTTGTCAACAAACACAACATACTTTCATATGCTCGACTGCGCGCACACAACAGCAAAGCCGGTCTGGTGGCAACAGCACGCAGCGCACCGTGACATTCATCCCACCCATCGAACGCTTTGATCTCTTGCAATACAAGGTGCGCGCGTGTGATGTATTCATGTGTTCATGTACATGTGTGTACATGTGCATGTGTACGCGTGTGTATGTGTGTGTACGTGTTTGCTCGATGCTTGAGGGAGGTTCTGTAACGCGAGTCCCAATGTGTCCAGCATTTTCTCTCAAGTTCTGTAACGGCTTATCAATGACTGTCATCCCAGGTGACGCTCGCTGCTGAGCCGCTGCAGCCGCCGCTGCTTGGATCATACGAGATGACATCGGTATGTGTGTGTGTGTGTGTGTGTGTGTGTGTGTGTGTGTGTGTGTGTGGGTGTGTGTGTACACGGTTGCTGCTGTGCTCAGCTTTGTCGTTTTCAGGCTCAACACTTGTGTGCGTTCTATGCATGTGCCGTTGGCAGCGAGGCGACCAATCCCGAGTGTCTTTCACGTTGACGTTGCGACGAAGTGACCGAGTGAGAGCACACACACACACATATACACACACACACTCGCACACATGCACATCACACACACACACATACACACCCACTCGCACACATACACATCACACTCACATATACACACACTCGCACACACACATACACACACACACTCGCACACATGCACATCACACACACACTCGCACACACGCATGTACACGTACAAAATACACAAATACATACCACCCCCCGCGCGACTCAACCTGCATCACCATCTTCTACCCCACCCCCACCCGCCTGTCCCTCTTTGAACGAATGCAGTACACGGGCCCACCGCTGGAATCGGTCGAGGTTGTGCTGCCTTTCTTCAATCGCGGGTGCGTCTCTGGACAGTCCCTGCGGCCAACAGCCGGCACGGCGAGCGCAATGCGTGGCTCGCACGTGGTGGTGTGGCGGCTGGACAAGCACTTCTCTGGGAAGCAGGTTGCAGCGAGCTTGCAGGGGGAGCTGAGATTTGACGTGACAGCCAGACACCAAGGCATGGACGACCCGTTTTGCACAAATGTGACGTCGTATGCTGATGTGCGGTGGGTGGCGCAGGGGAAGACGCTGTCCAACACGTTTGTCAACACAGACACGGTGCGGATACAGCCGCCGCTTGCGCGGGGCAAGGTGAAGGCGGTGGTGACGTCGACACTCAAGTCGGGCGATTATCGCATCTGGAACGTTCACGGCAGCAGTCGCCAGTGCATCCCACCGTCCCCGGACCGAGAGCAGAACCCGTGAACAGCCGTGGTCTGGGTGGGTGGTGTCTATGGGCCGTAGATAGTGGTGCTGTGGTTGTAGGTAGTGGTGGTGCTGGGATTGTGCTTGGTTGTGGCGAATGTATGCGTCCACATGCCTGTGGCACAATGAGGCAGGGCTTGTTTGCGACTGTTCTGGTCTGTGTGTGTGTGTGTGTGTGTGTGTGTGTGTGTGTGTGTGTGTGTGTGTGTGTGTGTGTGTGTGTGTGTGTGTGCGTCCCCTCGCACTCCGTCCCTGTTGTTGTTACTTTGGTCGATAAGCGAATGGCGATCAGTTGGTTGTGTGGAACGTCTTGTTGTTGATGACGATAAACAGCAGCAAATCAGGCAACAGCAAAGCTGCGTTGTGACGACACAAGAACAGGCGAGGTGCGCGGGAACACCAACAGTGGCGGCAACAACTGCACAGCAGCAGCGAGCAAGTGACAATGCTGAGCACGTGGCGCGTGCATGAGGTGTACGTGGGCATGTCTCGCCAAGGGGAGAAGACCAAAAAGGAATGAAGGAAGACACAGAACTGAAAGGAAGAAAGACACAGAACAGAAAGGAAGAAGAAACACACAGAACAGAAAGGAAGAAGAAACGCGCGTGAGGGCGACCAACATAGCAATAGCGCCCGCTTAAGCAACAGCGACCTTGACATGTTGCGGAGGCGGCAAGTCAGGCACAGAACAGATTGTTATGGCTCATTTCATACACTGGGGAAGAGACACCGAACATCACACAGCCACGTGGTGACTGTATGTGAAGTTAAATAGCAATCGCACAAGGGCAGCAACAAGCAATACATAACTCAAGAACGAGGCAAATACCATAAGATGCCGAGAGACCGACATATTTGTGTGTGCGTGTGCGTGTGCATGCGTGTGCACAGCACTAGAACTCCTCGATCCAAACCACACCCATCACAGCTGGCCTTGCGCGCCCACTCGTCAACACGCACGTGCGTGTGCGCGGGTGTGTGTTTGTGTTTGTATGTGTGTTCAGAGGTCGAAGCGAACGAGGGGCTGCAGTCCGTGATTGAGGGGTTTGCGGAGGGAGAGGAGGAGCTCTGCCGTCTGCATCATCATGACTTGCTGGTGCTTGCTCATGTTGAAGTTGTCTGCCACGTATTGCCAGTGCGGGTGGTGCTCGTACAAGTGCTTGAAGAAGCTAAACAATACGGAGGCATGAGCGGAGACGACATATGAAGGGAATGTGAGATGGCGTTGGGCGTTGCAAGCACTGGTGTGTATGCAAGGAGGAGGGTTCAGGAGGACGACGCGATGCCCATATGTGGTTCACAACATACACAACCCATACACACGCACGCACACGCACACACCCACACACACAGACAACACACCTGTTGTTTTGGCGGTATGACTTGTGGCAGTGTGGGCACGACGTGTCCACGGCGCCGTTCTTGCGAACATCATCCATCTCTCCGTCCGAAGAGGAGGAGGAAGATAAAGTAGTAGCAGAAGCTGCCGTTGCTGCTGCTGCTGCTGCTGCTGCTTTTGCCTTATGGTACTTGCGTGCGGTGTTGCGGGAGGCACGACGGCCGCGGCGCACGTGCAGATAGCGCTCGCGCGCCTGCTTGCGGAGCTGCATGGCCTCCTCCCAGGACGTCTCGTTGGGGATGTCGTCGAAGATGAAGTGCACGTCGTCCAGCTTTCCCGACGACAGCAGCTGCCTGTGCTGCTTGAGAATGCTTGTGTCGCTGGCGCTCTTGTGGCGGATGGTGCTTGCCTTTGCTCCCCGTGCAATCGCCGCTGGCTGTTGCAGAGGCAGTACGGCCTGCACCACCTCTTGCTGCTGCTGCTGCTGCTGCTGCTGCTGCTGCTGTTGCATCACCTTTGCGCGCTTGGTGGCTGGACCGTCGTCATCAGCTTGGCCATCGCCGCCGTTGTTGTTGGCGCCAACATGGTCGAGCTGGTGCCCGAGGCTGCCGGTGTCAACCTCGCCCTCGTTATCGTCCTCAACGAGCGGCTCCAGCGTCGGCTGATGCAGTGGGCGGATCCACTTGCTGGCGTCCTCCTCCGCGTCGCTGTCGTGCTCTGCCTCGCTCTCACTCTCGTTCACCCGGCGCCCGTCCACGCTCGCGCTGCTTGCGCTGCTTGCGGTGCTGCTGCTGGTGGCCGGGGACGCGCACTCACGACGTGCGTGCTCATGCACGCTGTGGTGGCGGTGGTGGTGGTGCACAATGGCCTGCGGTGGCGGCGGGGAGCTGCTTGGCGTCTGGGGTGAGGCCGGCTGGCTGTTGCTGGCGTGGGACTGCGGGGACGACGAGGAAGCGAGCCGGGCCAGTGCCTTGAGGGAGGGCTCGGCCGACTGCGAGCGCCCTGTGTGGGTCCATGACGAGAGGTGCTTGGCGGACGAAGCGCGGGCCGTGCCGTAGATGGTGAAGGCCTTGTTGGCGGCGGCGGAGGTGAGCTCGATGGCGCTCTTGCTGCGGCGCGGTTTTGGCGTGGATGACGCGTGACGCGAGCCGGGGGAGTGCTGGTGCTGGTACCTGTGGCGGTGACGGTGGCGCTTGCTGCTGTTGTGGTGGCTGCTGGTGCGGGTGGGGGAAGTTGTTGGTGAGGAAGCTGCAGAAGACGCCGGGGAGAGGGAAGCCAACGAGGCAGCGGCGATGTTGGGAGGGAGTGTGGGTGTTGTTGGTGTGATGGCGGCTGGTGGCGTGGGCTTGTTCATGCCCGGGTTCTTTGCAAAGCAGAAGGAGGCCATAAACGGGGGGAACTCAGTGGCCAGGTGCTGCTGGTGCTGGGCGCGGCTAGCGAACGTGACTGGCGGATAGCGGAAGGCAAACGCACGATCCATCGTTGGTGGTGACGGTGCTGGAGTGAAGAGAGAAGAGACAAGAGACAAGAGATAAGATGAAGGGGTTGCTGAGAAGAGAGAGAAAGAGAGGGAGAGAGAGAGAGAGAGAGAGAGAGAGAGAGAGAGAGAGAGAGAGAGAGAGAGAGAGAGAGAGAGAGAGAGAGACAAAGAGAGACAAAGGGGGGGGGGAGGTACTGATCGCGAATACGAAACGATGAAGAGGAGTTGGCTGGTATGGGTTGGTTGGTTGGTTGGTTGGTGGGAAAGGAAAGGAAAGGGAAGGAGCTCGCTTGCTGCTCTTGTAGCAAGGGAGCTGTTGATGGAGAGGGTTGGCTGATTTGAATGCAGCAAGAAGAAGAAGAAGAAGAAGAAGAAGAAGAAGAAGAAGAAGAAGAAGAAGAAGAAGAAGAAGAAGAAGAAGAAGAAGAAGAAGAAGAAGAAGAAGAAGAAGAAGAAGAAGAAGAAGAAGAAGAAGAAGCAGGTTGGTGTGGTAGAGATGCGCGCTCGGAGACAAGGGTCAATGAATGTGGTTGGTATGGAAAGGGTGCGCAAAGTAATGTCTGTCTTGTGTGTGTTGTGTGTTTGCTGAGGCGAGAACTGAGGCACGCACAGCGGCACAACCCAGCCTTGGTGGTGGAATGCAGGAGCGGAGACTGCGAGGGAAGGGGGGAGCTTGGTCACTGGATCGCGCGGATTGTTGGGATGGAAACTTGTGTGCATGTGTGTGTGTATGTGTGTGTGTGTGTGTGTGGAAGCGAACAACCAAAACTTGGAGCTCTACGCGCCACGCGTTGTTGCATGGGAATGCTCGAGATCACAAAGGCACACACACCACCCAGGCAACTGCGTGCCGTCCCATGACAACCTTGCCACAGCAACCACTGTCAGTGAAGCTACGCTCTTGTTGTTTGCTGTTGTTCGCTGTTGCTGCTGCGGGTGCGCGACTTGCTTCACATGACATGTGGGTGTCGTGACTTCTTTTCGTGCCATGCATCAATCACATGCCTCCACACGGCATGCACGGCCCACAAACTAACATGAAGGCGAGCGCGCTGCGTTGTCGCTGGGGCGCGTTCCAGTGTTGCCGTGCGTTCCATCCCGTTGCCAGTGGCGGACAAGTGGTGTGGGTGTGGCGAGAGGTGTGCATGGCATTCAAGGTACGCCCGCAGATTGAAACTCGTAACAGCTCCTCTTCGGTGCCTCGAACGGCCAAAGTTGAAGCAATGCTTGAAAACATGTTTTGGAAATTTTGGCGGCGGCCGACACAAAGAAGAGCCGTTTTCCGTTCCAGCCACAAAGCAAAGCACAAAGCACACAAAGCACACAGGAAGGAAGGAAGGATGATGAGCGGAGCTGGCGGCGGTGTGGTGAGTGCGTCGCGGGAGGTCGGCCAGGGCGTGGCGGAGCTCAAGGCAAAGATCTACGAGCGCATCAACAAGCACTTCAAGGAGTATGCGGCCTCCTTTGACATTGGGGGCGATGTCTCCACAGAACTCGATGCACTCCGGCACCAACTGGACGCCGTCAAATCAGCCATTGAGGTGTGCGCATGTGCATGTGCGTGTGCGTGTGCATATGCATGTGTGTATGTATGCGTGTGTGTGCATGTGTGTATGTAGGCGTGTGTGTGCATGTGTGTGCGTTGTTGGTGGTGAGACGATTGCCAGTGGTGTAAGGTTTTTTCTGGCACATACCGTTGTGAGCTGACTTGCATGTGTGTGTGTGTGTGTGTGTGTGTGTGTGGGGCATGTTTTGCTTGTGCTGTAGGAGGACGACTTGGACGCTGTGGCACAGCAAACACAGGAGGCTGCTCGACTGCGCGCACAAACACAATTGACAGATGCCACCGTCGATGTCATGCAAACGTTGGCAGAGGTGTGTGTGTGTGTGTGTGTGTGTGTGTGTGTGTGTGTGTGTGTAGAGACACGTGTGCGTGTGTGTGTGCGTGTGTGTTGTAGATGCGGGGCCCAGTTGCCTCAGTTATCCTCGGATGCATGGAGATGATGATGGCTTGGGCGCTCACTTGCTCCTTGTTGCTGGGTGCTGGGCAGATCGACAAGTCATTGCTAAGGCATGACACGCATCTGGAAGCAGGAAACTTGGCCCAAGCAGCATCCGTGCTCGCAGAAGTCGTGAGTCTGTCTGTGTGTATGCGTGCGAGTGCGTGTGTGAGTGTGTATGCATGTGAGTCCGTGTGTGTGTGTGTGTATGCGTGCGTGTGTGTTGTGTGTGTGTGTGTGTGTGTGTGTGTGTGTGTACACGTGCGTGCGTGCCAATGTGGCTTCGATAACGCCAGTTCTTCCCGTTCTTCTCCCTTGCTTTTCCCTCTTCTTCCCCTCCGTCCACGTTGCCCTACCTTCCCTCGACTTTGTCCGGTTCTCAATGTTGCGTGCTCGCTGCATGCGCCACAGAAAGTGAACCTCGACGACAAGCGGCTGTTGCAGAAGGAGTACTGCGACGCTAAGATCCTGCTCATCCTCAGGGTAAGTGGTATCTGGCCGTGTTGGCCCGACACGATGGTGCCGCACGAAGGTGATGGAAAAGGCATCGTTCAGCCTGAAGATTTCACACGTGCGTTTGCACGCGCCGTGTGCCCTGCTCTGCCCTCCATGACAGCGAGACTATGAGGAGAAGCAGGCGCACCTGCGCAGTCGGGTGGAGGAGCTGTGGCGCCGCGCTGTTGTTTGGCAGCGACGTGACATTGGCAGCCAGCACGTCGCAACCATGCAGGTCACCACAACCCTCGAAGGTGAGCGCCCGCGTCAGAATTGAGGCGTGTGCGCTGCTCGTGCAGCTTGCCTGTAATTACATGTGTGTGTGTGTGTGCGTGCGTTTGTTTGTGTTTGTTTGGCTGTTGCTTGTGCGGGTGCTTGGTTTTGTGCTCGTTCTGGCATCTAACGTGCACTTCACACTGCCTTGTGTGTGACTGTGCGTTGTTCCCTTCATGCTCCACACACACACACATGCGCGCACGCAATCACACACGTGCGCGCACGCAAATACACACGCATACACATACACATGCGCACACACACAAAAGTTTCGGAGACACAGGCCGACATGGACATTGCAGAGGTGGTGGCGGCATTGGAAGCGTTGGGCCTGCTGGATACACATCTTGCGCGCCTCGCATCGCAGCTTATGGAGGCGTTCTTGCTCCCACTCTGCAAAACACACACGTATGTATGTGTTTGTGTATGTGCATGTGCATGTGTGCATGAGTTTGGGTGAGGGAACCATCGCTGAGGGTGTGCGTAACTGCTGAGCACTTTCTCGTTGATGGCACCAGTATTGACGATGCTTCTTTGGCTTCTTTTGGCACGTGCGCAGGCTGACACCGTCTGTCACCGAGGGCGCTCGCTCGCGTACGCTCATGTTGGATGACCGCCTGCCCGGCATCAAGGCGCGAAAGCTCCGCTCTAAGATCAGGGCTGCACAGGAAGGTGCGTAGTTGCGGCTGCAAACAAAACTGCAAACAAAGAAACAGACGCACTTATGTCCACGCGGGCACACACACATACACACACACACACACACGGACATACACACGCACACACACGGACATACACACGTACACACACACACACACATACACATACACATACACGCACACACGCACACACGCACACACACGCACACACGCACACACTGTCGATGCTGCCTGGCACTCTAGCAATGCACATGTGCCGGTTCATCGATTCCTCACCTTTCCCACTTGTCCTGCATGCACACATCACCTTCCACCTGCGCAGCGCTTGCCGTGTTCCAGTCGCTGGAGACGGTGCTTGCGTTTGCGCTCGACAATGTGCTTGCCGCGGACCCCAACCTCTCCGCACGCCTGGGCCGGTCCCTTGCAGGCCCGCTCCTCGGTGCGGTGCAGTGGGCAGTGATGGTGGTGTTGATGGTGCTGGTACTGGTGGTGTGGATGTTTGCATCGTGTGGAAGGAAAAGCCGATGCTCAGTGATGTGATGTGCACTGTCTCATCGCCTACCTGCTACCAACCACGACACACACACACACACACATGCACACACACACGTGTGCACACATACACATACATCTGTTCATATACATTTACACACACGCGCGCACTCATACTGACGTCAACTGCATGTTCCGCTTCCTGGCGCTGGCGTGCGTGCGTACGTGCAGAGGCGGTGACCAAGCACCTGCTGGCAAAGGCTGTCCCCTTGCACACGGACAACGATGATCTGCACAGCAAAGTCAAGGGCAGCGTTCAGCGCTTGGAGGCGTTCCTTCGCGATGCACACGTGGTACAGGGCAAGGACGCGGCGGTGCTGTCGACATATGTGGACAACGTTGGCCTGCACAACCACAACAGGAAGCGGCAGGAGGTGCTGGCTCGAGCGCGTGCACTGATGCTCGCAGACAACTTCAACACCATCCAGGTTGAGCACGCCACGGAGCGCGGCGGCCTCTTCCCCGCAACAGAGCAAGGTGCGCGTTTGTGTGTGTGTGTGTGTGTGTGTGTGTGTGTGTGTGTTGTGTGTGTGTGTGTGTGTGTGTGTGTGTGTGTGTGTCTGTATGCGTGTGTGTGTGTGTGTGTTTGTGTGTGACTGCCATGGTGTGTGATTGAATGCGTGCAGATGTGCCTGTCATTGCGTCAGTGTGGATCTTGTGCCATCATCACACTCCTGCTGCCCCTGCTCATCAGCACAATCCACACTGCATCATCACCACCACCATGACCGTCCTTGTAGTGTTTGAGGGAGACGACGCTGCGTTGCGCGAGAGCATCTTCAGCCTGCCGACCTGCCACATCACGGAGACCACGAAGAAGGTCATGGATCTCGTGTACATCACCCTCGACGAGTGCGCCAAAGCAGACCAGTCAACGTAAGCAGTTGCACGGCAACACGGGCCTGTTGGCACTGTGATTAGGTTTTTGGGGATGTTGCACATTTAAGCTTGCACTGGTGCACTGGCCCATCTACTCACAAACGTTCATGCACTCACGTACACGGACCGACATCTCAACATGACCTCGGACGTACAACCACTTCACGCTGGTGCAATGCGTGCAATGCGTGCAGGCGCGTGCAGTTGTTCTACACTGTGCGGGACGTGCTTGATCTCTTCCGCACGGTTGTGCCCACCTTCCACGCACAGGCCCTCGACGCAGGTGTGTGTGTGTGTGCGTGCGTGCGTGCGTGTGTGTGTGTGTGTGTGTGTGTGTGTGTGTGTGTGTGTTTGTGTGTGTGTGTG